GCGCCGCTCGGAAGAGTGGAGTGTGGACGGGGCTTGGCGCAAAGCGGCGTGCCGGCCAAGCGCGAAGAGTGCCGCGGCCAGTGGCCTTGCTCGCACCCCCCTTCGCCTTGGGCGAGATCACGGCAGTTCCCACCCTGTCCCACCAAGAGTACGTGCGTGGAAGATTTTTTTTCGCAGTTGGATCCCGCGTTTCGGGCGTTGCGGCTGTCGAAAAGAGGGCTTCATGCGGCCTGTGTGTACACGGGTAGTCGTCGTGCCATGATGTGCCATCGGCGCACCTTCGTCTTGCTGGTCCCCCTGCCTTGCGCGATGCGCATATGCTCCTGCCGCGGATGCCTGGACCAGCTAGCTCAGTGACCAGCGCTGGCCTGTGCCACGTCCGACAACTCTGCCTCCAGTACTGTGCAATAGCGCGGAACATTCGAGTTGCTGACAGGGACATGCCTGTCAGCGGGGAGAGAGTCCTGCCAACAAGTGGCGGAGCGCAAAGGCGAGCGGCAGGTATGCCGAAGCGGCTGCAGCCGGCAGGGGCGAGGCATCGTCTCCGCAGACACGTTGAGGCAGGCCTCAACTGCCTCACAATTGAAACCGGGGGGGATGCATCCGGAAAAACTCTGCACGAGCGGAAGCGCAAAACAACAGTAGCAGCCGAGCCGACTGCAAGTCGGCGAGGGCCGGGATGCGCTGCAGCAGGGTGTTCAGCGTTTTTTCTGCCGCACAACAGCCGTGGATCCGAGGGGAACACCGAGCACGACCAGTCCCTGGCGTTCAGGCGGCGAGCTCCACGCCCTTGCCCAAACTTCGCCGCCCTGCTGGGGCTGGATGACTAACAGGCTCCTCGCCCGCAGCGTTCCGAACGCCAACCGAGCGAACGCATAAAGTGCCGCATGGGGTCTTCTTGTTCCCCGCCCTCAACCTGAAGCACCTCATGGTCACCTCCAGTATCGTCTGTCCAAACGTAGTGGCTCACAGCAGGCAGCGACCGGGACGTCATCACCGGAGTCGGCGAGGTATGCGAGGTCGATTGCGACAGCTGGTTCGTCCCCAGTGTGCGGCGCGTTTGCGGCCAGAGGGGTGTCAGCACCTGAAAGATCCTGAAAAGATGGGATCAGCAGCTGCGCTTCGTGGCACAGGCGTGGGCACCCGCGTCCGAAACGCGAAACGCGTCCGAGTTACGGTCGAGCGCGACAGCAAAAGCTAAGCTGCCGAAACGGTGCGAGTGCGGGTGACCTGGTGGTGGGCCGAATTGCTGTCGGGACAACACAGGGCCACACGGGGCCTGGCGGACAGTGTGGGTCCTCAGTGCTTGGGGCTGCGGCAGTGGTGGCCGCGCCGCCGTTCGAACCAGCCGCTGCACCTCCCGGCGGCCGGGACATCAAACTTTTTTCCCTCCACACATGTCTCAACGCGAAGGGAAGCGACTCGGCGACTCGGGCCCTCGGGCTCAGCGAGTGCCAGCACGGAGTCCGGGGCGGCGCCCCCCACGGCACGTTGCGACGGAGAGCATGCTCCACCAGCGGCGTGAACACGCCGGGACATCAAACTCCCTTACTCAGACGTGCGCCTCTTATCAATCCAGGCGGCGTGAGCAGCGTGGGCAAACCCATGACAAACGCCAGGCTAAGATTTCCAATTCGCTCGCTGAGTGCAGCAGAGCTTCCAAACAGTTCGTCCCCGCACGGGCCTGAAGCGCGAATTGGAAGCGGCGCAACGTGTCCCCGGTCGCGATCCCTCGAACGCCTCCGGGACAATGCGAGGGCCTGCACGGTAGCGGGTACATCAGCATTCGCTCAAAGAGATCGCAGTACGCAAGCAAGACCAAGCCTCCGCGTCCTCCAGCAGCAGGCGATTGTGTTCCACCTGTGCCGGACAAGCCTGCAGTGCTGCCGTGCTTAGCCGTGCGCAAGCTTCTCCCAACTCAGCTGCAGTCGTCCACCATCGGCTGGCGCGGACGGGGCGGTCGCTTATCCGGGTCCGAAAGGAGGCGTAACGTGGCAGCATTGGCTGGCGCCAAGGGAGCGCTGGTGAGTGTTTGGCGTGCTCGCGACAACTCGGCGCAGCATCTACTGTATAGGAGTTCGCGCCAGCACCCAGCCTCGAAGGCTCGGATCCGTTGCAACAAGGCGGAAGGCCTTGTCATCCGCCGCAATCTGTTCAATCTCAAGAACCAAACGTGAATTCTTTTTTCTCTCCGCACTTTTTTCCGTCTGCGGGCGCGACCGCCTCGACGCCGTGCGCGCGTGCAAGAGTTGCCGAGCTTCGTGGGAAATGGTTGGACGCCGGTTGCAGAAAAACCGACGCCAAGAAGCGACAAGGTCAAAGCTAACGAAGCTTGGGCTGTTTGCGACGCGGCGACGGTGCGCTCGGGCGGGGTCGCGATGTAAACATCGTCCAAGAAGGGCGGCACAGGGATCTCGAGGAAGGTCGCTGCACGCGAGTTCTGCGCTGCGACGGAGATCACGCCACTCGACTGGAGGACCCGCGCAGCCTGGGCGCTTGCAACACGGCGGGGGTGCCTGATGCTTTCCAACAAGGAGGCGAATGGCAGCGCCGATCGATTTCGGGATAAGTTTGCCGACGCTTGCAGCGCGCAGCGTTGCGCCGGGCGGGTTGCAGCCCCGGCTTGCGGCAGCCCCTCGCCCCGCAAGTCCGTGCAGCTGTTGAACTGGACCCGAGGGCCACGGCCGCGACACCGTCCCGTCGCTCCTACCTTTCGCACGAGCCCATGTACGCGCGCACCGCCACTTATACTTGTGGTGGGACAATGCGGGACGACGAGATCGCGCAAGCTGAGGGCTGAGGGCGTCGAGCAGGGCAACCCCCTCGCCCCTCTCGCCGACACGACTCGCAAGAAGCCTCGAGCGCCTCTTTGCGGCCTGCCGAGCGCCTTGCGGCTTTCTTAGGCGACCTCTACATCGTCGCTGTCCCGGAACGCGCAGCACCGCTGACGCGCGTCGTCACCGGCGAGGTCGAGCGAGGAGCCGGGGTCGAACCAACCTGAGCAATAAGCGCGTTTACAACGTGGCAGGAGGAGACGCTGAGGCCGAGCTCCTCCAGAAACTGAAGCGCCTGCCCGATTTCCAAAGCGCTTGCAGCACCTGCTTCGAAACGTCCCTCCTGCAGACATCCTGCCATATGCCAGCGCGCTCACGACGATGCAATCTGGGCCGGGAGGGCGATGCCTGGGATGCTGCGAGGTCGCTTTTAGCCTTGGAGGTCTCGGCCTCTTAGCAGCTGAGCGAATTTCGCTGGCCGCAGGCGGTGAGGGCATCGACCCGAAGATCCTATACCCGTTTGGCCCAACGCTTGGCACGGCAGAGAAAGGACCTTTGGGTTTCAGTTTACAAGGTCCCGTTGTCAGGGAGATGCCACACGTGCGCGTCTGTTCTTCTCAAGCATAATCCCGAAATCCCCGTCGTCTCAGTACACCCGGATGGTCTACCCTGAACCCTATGGTCATTAAGCTCACCCTTCCCGGCCTCACGAGACACGGCGTCCCAATACGACGGACACATCAGCGAGGAGGGGGGAGTTCGGGAGGGAAGGAGGGAAGGCCAGAAAAAGTCCCGCGCTGATGGTACTGGAGGAGGTTGTCGTCGCCCACCAATAGCGCATGCCCAGGAACCCCCGCCTCACTCACGACTCTCCCCATCGCACCTGCGCCATCCACAGCAGGGCGTGAACATCCAGCTTCGATTTGCATACACAAATCTACTTCAGCGCTCGCTTGCGGCTGAGTCCTGCCGAAACTGGCATCTGTTTTGCAGTATTTTCGCATTTCCCGCAACATGTTTGCACATATTTCGCAACCCGAAAATTGATCTGCAAAAGTGTTTCGCAAAAATCTGTTGGGTTTTGTGTTCTGTGGCCCTAATCATCTCATAATCGAGCTTGTTGGGCAAGAAGGCCGGCTCTGCGACTCGTGCTGGCGGATGGCCGCGGGCAGCCGGGCGTAAGGTGCACGCTCGTTATAGACCTGCCCGGAGTAGGGTGCAACGCCGGTCGAGCTTGGCTGCGCCACGCAGGATTCACGACGTTTGATTCCGTTTGATCATGTACGTACACATCAGCAGGACGCACTTGCATCTCTTTCGTTGGCGAACGATTCGGAGTACACGAGTTTTTTCGAGCTTTGGGGCAACATGCTGCAGTGCTCCTAGAAACAAACGAGGCACGCAAGATGCTGTCGTACCCGCTGCACCCATCCAGTGACAGTAGGACCGTGTATGGGTCCTGGTCCATAGCCACGCGGACAAGGCCACCAACTCGCGCTTGAGCTATTCATGGGCAAACTTGGGCATAAACTGACTTGAGCACGCATGTGATGTGCGAGGCGGCGGCTGCGGACAACCCAAGCTGGACCGGCAGAGCAGTAGTGCGCAAAAAATCCTCAAAGAGCGGGAGCGAGAGGAAGTCGCCCTGCTGCCCTCCCTCGGCATGCGTGATGATGTGAATATCAGGGACAGTCGTGAGTTGGCAGAGGGTGCATCTATTGGAACAGCGCCGGGATGTTGGGCAAGGCGCACGGCCAAAATCGGAAAAATGCGATAGCCGGCAGCTGTCACGCGCACACTTGCGGGCAAACTGCGAAAAAGTTCCAGGAAACGTTTGCTTCAGTGCGGGGTTCTTTATCAACCGTCGCCTCAGCAGCATCTTCTGCTGATCATCTTGATGAGCCATACTTGTGTCCAAATGTGCAGGCTCAGAGGCTAGCAAGCGTATGAGTTCAGATACAGCGCATGCGCTACCAACATCCCGAAGCTTCGATGATGCTAGACACAGTTCCTAGAGACGGTGTGCAGAGCATGGGCTGCCAACCCTACATCAAACGGGGAGTGACAATGCAGCGGTCATTTTCCCCTACCGTCCTCTCCCCTTTTGGGGTGCTACTCCACAGATGTGAGAAGTCAGGTGCACCAAATCGTCAACAAACTCATGTCATTCTTTACTTACTTGTTCATCTCAGCCTGACATCTCTGGTTTCAGCTACGCCCTCAGGGTCACAGCATTCGCCCTGAGAGCAAATGTTGTGCATCATGAAAAGCTTCATGGAATCCACGATTCGGGTCATGAGCTCCGCGATGTCCGCGGTAACGACACAGCTCGAGCACATTCAGAGCCACCCCACCCGACCCAACACCTTCCGCAGCACGACACAAGTGAATAACACGAAGCCTCCCCTCGGTACAGCAGCACTACCACTGACGAACGGGGCCCCCAAACACACGCTTCCACTCGGTACCGCTGCGCTGCTACACTAATATCTTCACAAGTCCATCGAAGTCACGCATCAATGCTCGAACCCTTGCTGAGGCTTTGGAAGCAACGAGCTATGCCAAATCGCCAGGACCGGCTAAAAGCCCAAACTCTCCGTGGACCATGGTAAACGCTTGACCAATGCAACAGTGTTGGATCAACACCCTTAACTCCAAACCCCCCAATGCTTAGCCTGGTAACAGTGACCGGACAAAGGCAAACCATTCAGAAGACGCAGGCCTGCAGCAACCTGGAACTGCTCCTCCTGAGTTTCTTAGGGTCTCGGGTTCTGGCTCAACCCATTTCGATGCTTGAGGCAAGCAAGTTTGTGTAAGCAGCCGAGCCAAAATGACCTCCCTCCCCCACCAACCCGTCCTCCTCCTCGCTTTCTGCAGAATCCTCATCCTGAGAGTCCGAATCGCTCACCCGCTCGGAACCGCTGCTGTCCTGATGAGCCGTTGAGAGGTTGGATATGGTTTTGCCATCACGTCTGACAAACTCACGAAAGAGTGCAGGAACATGCAGGAACTATCGCATCACCATGGCAGGGCTCCGCAAACTCGGACTTTTTCGCTTCGAAGCGCTTGCGCCCCTGGGCAATAGAGCAAACTGGTAGCATGTAAGCAGGTCAAGGAACAACTTCGCTTTTTGATGAACAAAAGGTCGCCTTGCAAGGAGTGGCTTCAACTAAATCTATGCGCTGGGGAACACTCCGCTCGTTTGGAGGAATGGCTGCGCAATCCTAAGGATGCAACACATTCAACACATAGTTAAGTCCAGTATTGGGAAAGATCCTAGACTAGAGGGAAGGTTAGGACTTGGAGCAGGCCAGCCATGGGTTTAGGAGCTGCTGCAGCTGCAAGAGAGAGAAAAAAAAAAAAACAAGACACACATTACTGCCGACATTGCCCTCCTGTTACCTCGGTCGCATCAGCAGTGTCCCATTGCGAGATGTCTGGAGCTCCAAAAATTGAAAAGAACAATTCCCCGGCCACCCCTAGTCATGATCAGACAAAGAAGGAGATGCCAACCTCTCAACTTTTCAAGAAGGATTCCAATTCCAAACCCTGCCCAAAGCACGAAGCTGAATGCCGAATCAGTCAAACCCCAGCCCCGAAAACCCAAAACTCATCGGGCGGGCCTGATGCGGATGCTTTTCGCGTTGCCTCTGCTGGAGAATCTTCTGCCCAACACCTTCAAGGGAAAATCTGGGGCATCAGAGGGTTTAATAGTCTTTAATGAAGTCTTTAACGACTTGGGGTTTTGGGACTTGCTCGTGGACCAAAGGCCTCGCGGACTGTTGGTTGGACCTGCGCAAGACACTTGCAAGGCCAACAGCAGGCCCCCAGAAAGCCCCCTCAAAAGCAGCTACTCGTTCCATAGCTGGGCCTGTCAGCGACTCGGCAACCTTGGAGATTGCTGAGTGGAAATGAATTTTGGGATTTCTTGTCCGCGTGTCGCCCAAAGCAGGTTGCAGGCCGAGGCACTTCCTTCTTGAGTCTTCTGAACTCGTCCAGGTTCATGAAGCCTGGAGCAACACGATTTTCGGCTAGGGCAGTGGACCTCTTGCTGTACGTAAGGTGGTGAGGCAAGGATGCCTACTGACTACTGACGACACATAGACTTCCACAGACTTCTACATGTCGGGAATTGCCAAACCGTTGCCACTGTTGCAACCGTTCAAGCGTTTAACCCGTGATTTTGTGGTCAGCCGCTGCCTGAAGGAGTTTCAGCATCAGTCTTTGCATTTGCCTGCCGCTGACTGCCATGATATGCTGACTGCAACAAATTTGCGAGGCAAGCTTTGGGACGGAACTGACCCGTGCACATGCCGAGCCCTGGAAGCACCTTCAGCAGCAAGGTGCCGTCAGAGAAGCGAGACTGGCAAGATGAATGGATTGAGGGAACTAAGACCAAACTCAACAAACTCAACCTGCGAACCCGGTTGACAGGTGACGAAACTCAATCAGCCACAAGCACCAAGGAGCAACGCTGCTTGGCACGATCCTCAACATGAACTCTGATGAGAAAAGAAAGCTCAAGGCATCAAAAGACCGTCTGCAAGAAAATCAAGGTGGTGCAGCAGAGACCTCGTCCAAGAACCATGGGACAGCTCTGCACGCAAGTCGTCTGAGTCATCTGCAACGAAGGTGTCGATTCGAGCCTCCACTCTACTCTGCCTCAGCTCCATGTGGTTCTGCACTCTTTTGAAATTGAATGAGAAGAGAGCAAGATTGTACTCTCCAGTCACTCCAGTGCAGATTAGGCGCTGTAAATCCAACCATTTCACCAGAGCAACATAGAACCTTCCGTTCCGACGGCAACGCAAGTGCCAGCGCAGCATTGATACCGCACTGGCAAAGCACTGGCACAGCACACTCGCAGTTGTAGGGGAGATGCTCGCTGAAGCGAACATCAGTTCGCTCCGGGACGCAGTCCAAGCCTTCACAGAACCGGGGACTAACTAGGTGTTCCTCACACCCAACATGCTTGGTGAAGTGAACTGACCGCATGCGTGGAATAATAACCAAGCCAGAAATGCCTGTGAGTCCCCTCCGCATGTAGCGGCTCCGGGCATGGTTGCGCTTGCGAACGGCGTTGATGTGCTGCTGGAGCAGCATCACCTTCAATAAGTCATCGACATTCCCCGGCGGTCGTTTGCATGCAGCGCTTCAGCCTCGTCATCGGTGACCCCATCGTACAGATCCTCCATGTGCCGAGACATTCGACAAAGAAGCGGTTCACGGACTCAAGTTCGGGCAGCGCTCGAGCCGTGATTTCTCACCAAGCTTAAGGTCTCCCGATTGTCCTGCACCAGGCTGAGGAACTCTGGACCTTGAACCTGAAGCCCATCATGGTTTCACAGGGATCCTCAAGGGTTCAAGGGTGGTTCTGGACGTTGTCCTTCAGTCATCCAACTGCAGCTCATCTGTCAGATGAAGCTCAAGAGCATAATAGTAACAACTGCAACAACTGACCCGGAACTTGTTGCTTATAATTTCTTATGGCCCCTTGCAGTTCTCTCAAGTGCATTGAATGTATTGAAATGAGATGAAGCCTGCGCCTCCCAACTTTTCCGTGGGACCTCCCGCGGCCCACTGCGCCATACATAGATTTCCACTGAGGTGTCGACCCCGATTCGGCCGCCCACCGCGTACGTGCAAAACACGTCCCACACCTGTCTTCAGCCGACGGCTCAGTGCAGGCGTTGTGGGTCTTAGCCATCTTAGCCGCTCTAGCCTCTTCCACATCCAGCACCGACCAGCCAGTCTGCCTCAAGCGCTGGGGCAGCTGCTGACGAAATAGTCTGATAACTTATCGAAATATCAGCACAATTCTGAGAGGAGCACTTTGCCAGGTGAGCCAGCCTAAAAGAAACTAAGCAGTGTCGCGGAAGATGTTCACTGAACTTGCAGCTGAGTGATGAGCACTTTCTCGTCTAGCTTTTCAGCCGGTTGTTGTTGTTGTTGTAGGGGTATCTTAGCACACGGAGACAGACAGACAGGCAGGCAGACAACCGCGCACACACACACACACACACGCACACTTATACTGCTACACTTGCACCCCTAAACCCTAAACCCTATATAACCCCTAAACCCTAAACCGTACTTACACCTGCACTTGCACCTGCACCTGCACCTGCACTTGCGCTCGCACTCGCACTCGCGCTCGCACCCGCACTTGCACTTGCACTTGCACTTGCACTCACACATGCACTTGCACTTGCACTTCACTACACTGTCACCACACTTTAAAGCAAGGAAGGAAGAAAGGAAGGAAGGAAGCAAGCAAGGAAGGAAGGAAGAAAGGAAGGAAGGAATGAATCGAAATGTGGCACGCGGCCGTGTCATGATTGAAGCCAAGACACTTTAGGGGCCAATGTGCAAGAAGCCGAAAGTGGCCCGAGCGGACAGGGTAAGAAGCGGCCAAAAGCTTGACGGGCATATCAGCATCTGCAAAGACCAAAATTGGTGGCAAGCTCCAGCGGGTGCGCTGCAGGAAAGGCTGCCAACCTACTTGAGAGGGCCACAGCTGGGACGCATAGGCTGAAAAGCAACAAAACGTGGCCCGTGGGCTCATGGAGGCGCCCGGGCCCGTGACGGCCGTGAACCTCTGGACAAATTGATTGTGATTCACGGAGATGATTTTCGCAAGAAGTCAGAAGGCGAGAAAGTTGATCGGGTACATGGGGTTCTGTTTTACTTAATTTGATTCTACGCGCCCACGGGAACCAATAACTGGTTGTTCGTGCAGGTCCGTGAGCCTGTCTGGGGCTGTGGGCGGCTGCAGGGTGCAAGGGAGGACGCTGAAAGGGGCGGGAATCGCGTAAGCACTCCGCAGTTGGCAAGCTGCAAGGGTCGGCAAATGTGGAGAAACCTGCAGGCAACCACGGCGGAATGCCACACGGGAAAGCTGCAAAACGCAACTGGCGCGAAAAGAAGGGCCAGGAACTGTGGCAGCACAAGGAGGCCAAACGGGAAAGCCGCAAAGTGCACTGCGCGAGAGACCGCCAGGAAAATGGAGGCCACACGTAGAAGCGTCTGTGGCCAGGAGGGACATGCAGTGGCGAAGTCCTCCCTTTTTCAAAAGCTGTCAATGGAGAGCCCCCGCATACACTTCCGCTTCCAATTGCAGTTGCACAGCACGGAATGCTGCTAGCAGACACAGCACGTGCCAACTTGCCATCTCAATGGCACCTCCGAAATCCACTCCTGGGGCGAATGAGGCGATCACGCGCGGAGTCGAAACAATGCCTTGGCTGAGGGCTGCGGATTCTGAATGTGCCCGTCATGGAGACTCTGGTGCTCAAATGAGCCATGAGGCTGCATGCAGAGGTCATGGCGATAAGCTATCATCAAACATAGGTTCCGATGCGATTCCTGCGAAGCCAGTCGTACCAAGCTGCCAAAAGATCGCCTTCGATGCGAACCATTCTGCGCATCCGATTTTCGGCGCGCTTGGTCCTGAAATGTGACTCTGGCACTCATGGTTCCCAACACCTAGTGCGCTGATGAGCACTGACCAAATTAGCACGAATGCTTTGCTCCCACGATGTGCAGCTTCCTAACATGCATGATTGAATTTCCTCAACGGAAGAAAAGTCAGCTTTTCATGCGGCATGTCCTTACGAAGAGCCGGCATCGTGACCACTAAGCCTGTTGCGCTCTGCACTATATAGATGTGGGGTGGTCTGAAGCTCATGCTCAATGTGACGAACCAAGCGTGACACGAACAGCTCCACAACTACATGCAATTAACTTGCCAGCTGTATACCGATTTGCACCGCACCGCCCGTCTCAGCATTCTCTGCCCGCCTTTGAGTTGGTCTATTTGTTCTTCGACTACCTGGCGAACAGAGTCTCGTGGTACTGTGCACTGTTGACTATGCCACGCTATGCCGTGTGAGCATAACGTGCCGTGGATGCCTTGGCTTCTGCAGCGCGAACCATCTCCATCTCCTGGCTCGTGTACCCCCAGGGCACGATGCTAATGTCAGAGTCTCTTGACGACCAACTGATGCGCCTTTCTTGAGTTGACTAACGCACGATCAATCAACCACAATCGATCACAGAAGTTTTGCGGAATGGGAAATCCCAACGACGTGCCAGTGGTGATTCTAGAAAGCTACTATGGCTTATATGACTTGTGTTTGTAATATTCTGGCGGCCTCCGCAGATCCCCGGGCAGCATTTGGAAAGGCAAACCCGCAGTCTATGCGAAATCGTTGAAAGATGTTGGGTGATGTTGGAAGCGTTCTTTCCACGACATTACCGGACCCGAAGCCTAGAACTTGTGTCAAAGCTTCTGGCACGTCATTTCAACTTTTGCATTGTCATGGAAACTCGGACTGCAGATTCGAGTCTGCAATGCCAAGATATGCCAAGCATTTACAACAGCACCCACACAAGCGCCTGCATCGGTGAGGCGCAAAACCCAGAAAGTTTAGAGTTCACTTTTGGCCAAGTAGAAAAAGTGGATAGAAGCCCGCTGCATCTCAAATATCAAGAGGATGTGACAGCGACGAAGTCGAAGCAGGCAACCACTGGAACTTCTGCAAAAGCCACAAGTGCACCCCCGGCAGCCAGCATTGTGAGCATCATCAACATCCGTTTTCCCTTCACCCATACTAGCCTAAGGCAAATCAGCAAAGACGGACAGAAGACGAAATAAAGAGCTCCTCGCTTCCGTGTCAACTCCATGGCACATACCACAGAAAAAAACATCGAAATAAACAGTTCCAAATACAGAAACAACGCGCTCAAGCGAAACCTTTCCTGCAGCGTCTGGACACCTTGCACGACCTCCGCTGAGTGACCACACCAGAGTGCAAAAACTACAAGCGATCTACAGGCTCCGCGGATTACAGTACGCGCATCGACACGGGAGAAGTAGATTTGGAGAGAGGTCCGGTGTTCTTGAAACCCGAACCGGGAACACCTGCACTTTCCCCCTGCTAGAAGCAAACGAGCAGAGCGGGGGGTGGGGGGTCAGTGAGGTATAGAGACGTATAGAGCATAGAGTCTTCAACAGAAATACAGGCTTGCAGGGGAAGCGGCTTTTGGCAGGCAGACCACGTACTCTGAAACATTGCCAGCGAGGGAGCATAAGGGCCCACCGAGCTCGCACAACAAACCTATCAAACGGCGATATTAATACAGAATTGGGGGCCCTTGATGAGCCGATGGGATACTGAATCAGTTGAGTTGATCCCGGCATATCCCGGCCAGACTCGGCTTCACACAACTGAAGGGCACAGGCATCACTCTTCCAAGAGGTCTTTCAAGCGTCGCGGGACTGTCAAGAGGAGAAGAGAGGGAGGTCCATGTCGCGCTTGCCATGCGCATTGTAATAGCGTTTGACTCTGCAATGCGATGTCCTCTTCAGGATGAAGAACACCACAAGCATCCCACACCTTGTTGCGGTTGCTTCTGATGTTTGTACTCGAAAATGATCTTCTGGCACAGTCGCAGCGCGTGGGACGCTAAGGGCCTGGCTGAGCGTGGGAAAGTCGTGGTCATGGTTTTCATCTGCGCAAGCAGCCATGACAGAAAGCCCTCTGGCAAGCAGCAAAAAGGCACAAGAGAACACGCATGCTCAGAGCTTGGCCATGGCAGATACCATCTCACGAACTTGGCCGCGCTGGTTCAGAAACCTGGTGGATACATACATATACATGTATATACATATATAATGTATATGGGTATCGAGAGTCGTGCCGCAGGCTGCGCTGAAGCAACATCATACAAATGTCATGCTCTGTTGTACTAATGTTTATTGCAAATTTGTTTGCTGTTTCAGCTCTCCTCTTCTCCTGAGCCAGTAGCCCCGCACTCTTGCCCCTTGGCCTGTCGAAGTTGGAGATGCTGGACGAGGCCTGACTGCTAAGGCATGGCAGGAGCAGTTTTTGAGGGGGACTGTCGAAAACATGCTGTGTGACCGCGTGACTGTCGAACTGTGGCCATGGCCCTCGCCCAGCTCCTGAAAGAAGCTCGGCATCACGTAAGTCCATGTGAACCAGTTGCCGTGAGCATTGTTAATGCCATCTGCGTACCGTGACAAGTGCATACTGTCACTCGCTGTCACTCCTTCTCCGGTCACCGAATATGGAGTCCCGGGAGGCTTCCCCTTCCGAACCTCTGCGGACTGGAAGCGGGAGCGTAAAGCCCGTGACTCTGCCTGCCGGTTCTGATGATACCAGTGTGTCACAAGCTCGAAGATCCCAAAAGCACAAAAGCCACGCCTAAAGACTGAGATGCTTCGGGACTTCGCCTCGGTCCGAGTGATCGCCCTCTCAGCTCTCGCTGAGCTCTGCGTCTGCTCGGAGCCCCACATGCTCGACTCCCTTGTCGGGCCCGGCCACGTGTAGGCTGCCTTTTTGCATCTTCTTGCACAAGCAATTCAAGTACCCGCCAGCACGCAACCATCTGCAGACTCCATTTCCTGCTGTTCAGACTGCGAAAAGATGCGAAAAGCAGCCTCTTGTTCCGGGCTCCAGGCTCCAGCAATACCCACGTTGTTCGCCATTTCTGACAGATTCGATAAGTAGGGCGACAAAGCAGCGCATCTGTGGCTCGTGGCGCGGCCTTCTTCCAAGGTGGTTGGAAGCGGAAGAGCTATGTCCGGCCTGAGGGTGACATGCAACAAAGAAAGAGAGAAAGTCCGGGCTCCACGCCTAAGGCCAGTGCGAGCCTGAGCTGACCCTCGAAGCCGTCCAGTCAGGATTCACCTCTCCAGGCGCCTCTTCGAACGGCTCTTCGGGTCCTTCCATGCTCCCTTTGCATTAAAGTTGACAGCGCCCACTTCGAATCTATGGCTCGGACTCAATTTTACGCACACTGCAAAGTCAGTAGCTTAAGGATCAAGAGGGCCCTCTGTGGGCCGAAAAGAAAGACCGCGAGTGATATGGCCAGGGAGGAAGCCTCCACTGATTTCACAGCTCCCAAAACTCTTTCTGGCCATTCACCGATGTTTCACGGTCCCGGCATCTCGGCGCTCAGCCCGCTCTTCAAGCCTTTCGGTTTCGGCAACTAACTGGTATGTCCCTTTTTCTAAGAGCTTCTTTAGGGCCTCAGCGTTGCCTTGAATCTTTGTGAGGGCATCTACAATCATGGCTTGATGCTCCACCCAGCGAACTTCGGCGCCTACGCCATCCATTCTCTCACGAGCTATCGCCAAGTCCAGCGCGGTGCACTTGTCTTGGGCCAGCGAACCCTCCTTTCGGAGGTTGTCGTAGAGCGACTTCGCATCCACAACTGTCAGCGAATCTTTGAGCGTGTGATCTGCCTTGGCACTCTGCAGCACCAAATCGGCCTGGGCTCTGACGTTCTCTTTGAAAACTTCGAGGCTGAACTTCTCCTGGATCAAGTCATTCCAGATTGCTTTCGCCCACAGAAGATCTCCTAGACCTTTGTTGAGCGATTGAGTCTCGGCGGCCAAGGTTGAGTTCACTTTTCTTCTCAGCTTTCCGCTCTTCCACCAGACCAGCGAGCAGGTAGCTTCGTGCCCCTGCAACATGTCCTTGTGGAATGCTATGACTCCCAAGGCCCCCTGGGTGGAGCCGTCGCTGTAGTTGGTGAAGCTTGCATCCGTGACCACGCCCCATCTCAGGTCCTCGCACTCTATTGGGAAGTAGCGCAAGGTGAGGTCTGGCCAAGCGCGCACCTTATTGATGCACTGGTTCAGCTCGAGAATGTCCTTGATCTTGAGCGTGCTCAACTTGGATGCCATTATGCTGGCTCCAGCGGCGGCATCTGGACGACATTCCTTGGCGGCCCACGCTAAAGATCCTACGGCACCTCTGAATTTGTTCTTCTCTTCCTCCGTCGCGTCCGCCTCGGGGTGAGCTCTGCGTCCCTTTTCCAGACTCACTGGCGCCATTCTTTCGGACACGAACTTGCCCATGTCTATGCAGACGGTGTAGTCGCTCAGTTGTCTGATTCGTCGCCCGTTGAATGTCGTGCCATCCAAGAGCTGCATCAACTGCTTGAATTTTCCGAATTTAAAGCGCTCGCGCAGTTTTGCCAGCTGAACTTCATGATCTCGGTTGCCAAAGCACAGCAAGTCATCGATCTCTATCACTATGATCCCTTCAACGGTGCCCTCTAAGTATTTAACGAAGATGGTTGGGTCTAGCCTGCTTTGCTTGTAGTTCAAGTCCTTCACGATGTAGCTCTTCAGCGTCTGGCGCCAATGTATGGGACCATCCATGAGCCCGTAAACGCCGGCCACCACTTCGATGATCTGTTCTGGGTCCATGTTCGGTAGACCCCCTTTTGGCTGCCTCACGTAGAGCTTGCCGCCTGGTCTCAAGAGAGGGTCCGACTGGGTGAAGGCTGCTTTCAGGTCCCCGCAGGACCCCTTCAGCTTCATACTTGCGGCCAGCTGCAAAACCACTTGCAAGTTCTGTGTCGTGACCGTCGGGCTGTATCTTTCCAAGTCCAGAGCATCGGGATCCATGTCACCTCGCACGCAAAAGCGAGACTTCTTTGACGGTGTCTCGCCAATCTGTTCCCCGGGCTTCAGCCTTCGGACCATTCTTGACCCGATCACCCGGTTCAGCTTGCCCTGCGACTCCAGCTCCTTGAGGACTCTTCTCGACTCCTCCACCGACAGCACCTTCATCGCGCCGGAACTTTCTATTTTGCTCCACTCTTCAGCGTCTTGTAGTCGCCAGGCTGGCCACTCCTCTTCGGGAATGTCGGCCTCGCTTACCTCATCCGTCGCCACCTTTTTCATGACGAAGGTCTCGGCATTGAGGACCATGAACGTATACGCTTCGGTCGTCTCCACGTCAAAGTTGGGGACCTCTTTCGACGTTACATGCTTCAGGTTCCTTAAGGCCTTCTTGGTGACATAGAAGTCGGTGAAGCCTTTCCATTTGGCCTTCAGATCTCGCTGTGGTTTCAAACTCTTCCAATCGTCCTCCATTTCTTGCACGCTTCCATCTTTCATCTTCGCCATCGTCTTCCTCTCTCCTGTGAGATCTTCCAGCTTGACTGGCAGCCTCGTCGTCTCCCAGGGTGTGCACATCGCGCTGCGCCAGCGAACGTGATGCCTTCTCAGGACGCCCAGGGCCGGCTTTAGCTCCCAGGTGTCACGCTGCACTTCGCTTTGTCGCCGAGGTGGAACTGGCGTCGGTCCTTCTTCGAACTCATCCTGGCCAAAGAACGAGTATGGGTTGCCCGGCTCCTGCTGCCTTCTCAGGGAAGATCGCACCGGCTCATACCCGGCGCTGCTCTCCGCCTCTGCTAGCCTGCTTGGCGCTCTTGGGGAAACACCGTCCAATCTCTGGCTCTGCACCGCGGAGTCCACAGCTGCGCGTAGTCGTTCTTCTCGACCGGGAGCTTCAGGAACGGGGAGTTCGGGAACCTCTATCTCTGCCTCGGGCTCCGGCGCTGATGCTTGCCTTGCTGGCTCTGCTGGGACTTCTGGCACTGGAGTTTCTGGCAGTTGCGCTGGATCGGGAAGTTCTTCTGGCGGAATAGGTATAGGCACCACGGGCGTCTCCGGCTCGTCAATCCTCACTCGGGGTAGCCCTCGATGTAGGCCTTCTGCGCTCACTTCATCTTCGCCAGCTTCGCGAACTATGGCTCCTCGGGAAACTCCTGGTGGAAGTGGGTCGCCCGTGTGGTCCTCGATTAAACGACTGCTCGACTTCTTGAAGCGCTCCTTTAGGTCTTGGAACACTTCATGCACAGCTTCCACTCCGCGAACCTCCTCCGACGTGGCCTCCCGCACGTGCTCGTTGCAGACCTTCCAAAGTCTGCCCAACACATTGACGTAGCAGTTCGCTCCCTCAGGCATCAAAACGACGCCTGGCCCGACCCAGTTAGGCTTAAGCACACCTTTATCCTTCCACGACCGCCAAATGTAGACGATCTCTCCCGGCTGAAAGGTTCGGTGCACGCGATTCCTGGCTCGGAGAGCGTGCTTAGCCGCTTCGGACAGGTTGGTCTCCACGAACGCCTTCTGGGCAGCCCTGCGCGCTGCCAACACTCTTTCCACCTCCTCACCGTGGTTCACCAGCGCGGGGTCAATGGCATCGTCCGACATGAGCTCCCCATTGGTCCGCGCTGTCTGCCCCAGCATCCTTTGAGCTGGAGAAAAGCCGGAGCGATTGAAGAGGCGATTTTTGGCTGCTTCCACCTCACGTGTCAGCAACCTGAGGTCATCCTCTGAGCACGGAGGATTCTGCCACTTCGCCTTTTCCATCATCTGCTTGAAGAGGCCGCCATGCCTTTCACAGCGCCCGTTCTGGTGCGGCGCCCTGGCCCCAATAACGTGCAGAAGCACGCCTAGTTCCGCGCATCGGTCTCGAAATTCGCCCAAGAACTCTCGCCCTTGGTCCAGAAGGAGGATCTGTGGCATTCCTAAGAAGCGCCCCCACGTTCTGGTAAAGGCCGCCCACACACTCACGGGCTCTTTGCTTCGTAGCTTTTCCACCATCTGGAAGGAGGTGCCCAGGCAAATCATGTTCAAGTACCAGTTCTGTCCGGAAGCATCCCAATTCGGCATCTGCAAGAGGTCGATCGCGACCACGGTGTTGGGCGCGTACGACCTGGGCACCATCGCCGGCCTATGCGCCTTCGGAGTTCTACTGGCAGCGCAGGTAGGACATCTGAAGCTGTCCTTCGCCCAACGCCATATCCTGTCTGGTGTTCGGCTCACCTTCAGAGTTCGCACCAGATCCGCCAAGCTGGGGTGTCCCAAGTTTCGATGCAGCTTCATCACTGCCTCCTTTTCTTGTCTTGTAGGCTCACCCACCGGGACGACCGAGTCTTCAGGACGTTCGTCCACTGTGTCCATCGGGCGAAGGTCGAGCTCGTCGAAGATGTCCTGCTCTGCGACCTCTCCGGGGAAGCACTCGAGGTTATAGTCCATGATTGCCCCCTCCGCTCGGGGCGGCTTGCCCTTCGCCATGGCATACTTGACTGCGTCCTTGAAGTTTGTGATCTGGTACTTCTTGCGGTATAGCAGGTAGGACGCGGTGCCTTCTGAAGTGGCCTCCTTCAGGTTCTTCAAGCCTGATGACAGCGGCCCCAAGGCACTGATTACAAAGCCACGGCCCTTCCTCCACTGATGTCTCGCGATGCGACAAGCCAGCGACGACTGCTCCGATGCCACCTTGTTCAGGTATATTACTTTGGGACCTTGGCTCTCGATGTCCTTCCACACCGCATATGGTCATGGCGTCAACCCCGGCACTAGCCCCCACGAGGTAGTCCAGGATCTGATCAGACTTCGCCTTGTCGATCTTGGTCTCGTCGCTCTGGTGCTCCAAGTACAGCTCGGGCTCTTTGACCACCACATAGACCTCCTCGTCTTCCAGGCTGTGCAGGCCCTCCACGTCCTGCCGGTCCATTCGCTGCAGGACACCATTCTTGGAGACCACCACAAAGTCGTCCAGGAAGGGAAGAGGCCTGGCCATCCAACGACGCACCATGTTAGGCGTAGCACTTTGCAACACTCGCGTTCCATCCCACGATCTGACGTTCTGGCCTACGTTCACATTCCTGCCAGTTGCTTCGCCACTTGGGTTCTTTGGGTCATCATGCGCGCGTAGAACTGGTTCACCATGTCCACCGCTTGCTTCATCGTGGCCACGGCTTGCTCCCAGTCGCTCTTGGTTTCTCGCAAGGGCAGCGTGTTCGCTCGATGTCGGGTCTCCTGCTCGTAGCGCTGAACTCTCTTGAACTCGGAGACCATTGCCTGCACCTGGTTCGCGGTAGTCGGGTCCATCTCGGACAGGTGAGCCTCCATTGTGGTCACGTTCTCCACCGCCCTCTCGAACTCCAGGTACTCGCCCTCGCGCAAGTCCAGCGTAGTCTGCAGCTCGTCGCTCCTGGCGCGCTCGTCCGCCAGCTGCTGCATCAGGTTTCCCATCTCCACCTGGCGCTTCTGGGCCATTCGCTTCTCTTGTTGTTTCAGAGCGTTCTCCGCCAGCAGAGTTTGTCCAACAAAACCCGCCAGTTTCGGACGGCGAGCCTTGGCCGGCTGACGGGATTCCGCACTAGCTGCCATGGATTCCGCTGCCGCCCCTGCTGCTGCTGCTGCAGGGCACGAGAAGCTAGCATAGGCCTCGGACTTAAGAGTCTTGGGCGATCTTGTAGTCTTTGGTCTCGAGCCAAAAACCTGCCCAGTGCGAAAGTCGGACTCCATACGACGCCCTGCACACGCGGAAGGCATCACCCAACCTTCAGGACCAAAGTCAAGCACATCCACAGCTGCGTGCCCTGAGGGAAGAGTCGTCATGTTGCACTCTCCATTGACTTTGCTGAAGGTGATCTTGTCTTTGCTTAGGTCAATGACTGAGCCCAAGGCCCTCAAGAGACTAACCGGCAACAGCAATGGCACGTCTTCGGCTACGACTGTCAGCTCAAGCACTCCTGGAACTCCACCGAGGCCGATGGGAACTTCGCACACGCCGACTGTTTTTGCTGCGCCTCCAATGCCGCGTGCCTGGGTGGCCTTGTCCGTCCAGCAGCCTTTTAGGCCTAGGGGCCTCAAAAGGTCCAGCAAACGAAGAAGGGCCGGACGACCCACCAGGCCTTCCTGAGCCGCAGTGTCCACCAGGCCGTGGCATCCCTGCGTAGTCACTCCCACGAAGAGCTCGCCCGCCATCGACTCGCCCGGCCTGTCGTTGAGGAACTGGCCGAAGGACAAGAAGGTGTTCGCTCCACCAGACCCGGCATCCATTCGGCCGGCCCAGTAGAAGGACCCTCGGCTTGCTCCCGGGCCCGACGATGACGAAGAGGTAGTCAGCGATGGCCCCGCTCGGTGCCTACACTCCTTGCTCCAATGCCCGACTTCTCCGCAAGCCCGGCATCGAGTCCTAAGCTTGAGCTGCTCTATGTGCACTCTTCGTGACGTAGGCGACCCCTTCCATGCCGAGCCGCCTTTGCCGAAGGACTTGCTGCTCTGCTTGCCGGTGTTCTTGCCGTCCTTGTTGAAGAGCTTCTTGCCCCCTTTCTTGCCAAGGTTCGGCTGGTAGTACTGCCGGCCCTTTTGCTGTTCTTTGAGCTGCTGCCGAACATGTTGGTACGACGCCAAAGCTTCCATGACATCGCCTTCCTCGTACACCGCGTCCAGCTCGCCGTCTTCTAGGTACACGTAGTTCTCGTCTTCTTCGTCTTCCGCCTCCAGGTAGAACTCGGGCTCGCCATAGTGCTCGTGGTTCTCGTAGTACACCTCCTGGCCTTCGCCCTCTTCAGTCTCCGTCCAGAGCATCGCCTTGGACCCGGAGCTGCTCGAGTTGATGCGGTCAAGTCGCCTTAGGTTGGCGATCACCACATCCTTGGTGTAGTCGCCAGCCAACCACGTGACCACACGGGACTCCAGCTCTTTGTCCAAGTTCGCCTGCCGGAACAGCAAGTATCCGGCAGCCTTCGCCGGAAGGTCCACGCCCTCGGCTTTGAGCTCCGCCAAGGCATGCGACGCGCGCACCAGGTAATCCGGGATGGACTCCTTGGCACCTCTAGCCTGGCCATAGAACACGCCCTCCATGGCCCTCGGCAACGCTGTCTCCACATACGGCTTAAAGTTGTCGTTGAGCACTTTCATCACCGTCTTGTAGCCGTCCGCATGCTGGAGCTCGGCCAGCGTCAAAGACGACACCGCCTCCCTTGCTGGCCCTGTGAGAGCTTGAACCAGCTTGATCGCCCTCTTCTCCTTGGGAATATCCGTCGTGGCCTCCCACAGCTCAAGATCTCGAAGCCAGGTCTTGAAAGAGACCTCTGGAGTGGAACCGTTCCAAGAAGGTGGGGGATCTCTATCTCGGTAGACATATCCTCCAGGATCGCCTGAGGACTGTCCTTCCGAAGTAGATGGCATCTTCACTCACTCGCTCTTGTAGATGTCGACGTGGCTGGGCTCGATCAGATACGTCACCACCTTCCCGCGGCTGATCGGTTAGAAGGCGAGGAGGGAAACAGCAGGCCCCTGGGACCGCCGGCTGCGACGCCACACACGCCGCCAAGAGCCACGCAGGCTCCGCTGCCAACTGACAGCGCCCACTTCGAATCTATGGCTCGGACTCAATTTTACGCACACTGCAAAGTCAGTAGCTTAAGGATCAAGAGGGCCCTCTGTGGGCCGAAAAGAAAGACCGCGAGTGATATGGCCAGGGAGGAAGCCTCCACTGATTTCACAAGTCGATGTTCTGCTCTCAAACCCAGGCAGCTCAGGCAGCTCAGGCAGTCCTTCGCCCAGTGCACCCCTTCCGTCTGTGGCTTGCTTGCCAGTCGCATGCACCTGCCAACCATTGCTTCAAGTGCTGTCACAGACGAGGCAAGCCATGCATTGAAGCGCCGACTCACAGACAAAGGGTGCGGCTGTGGCTCAACAAGAAGCACAGGACATGGCACCCAACATCCACAGACTCCAAGACTCGAAAGTCTCCCCGCTCGCCTATCCGTGAAATTAAGACTCTGTCGGGCCGGCGCGTCGAAGCTGGGGGGCGCGGGGTCGTTGAGCTGCTTTGCGCTGCTTTGGCTGGTGGAACTGGTGGCTCCGTGGCAGGAGACTCACCTGGCACATCTTGCACGAGACATCACACACCACATGCAAGAGACATTGCACGACCCTTGCAACGTAACAGGGCCAAGCGGCGAGTTGCAGGGGTGAGGCTGTTTGGCCCGCGGGGCGCCTGGTCCTCAGCGCTGAGGCCTGTCAGCAGCGCTATTTTAACCCACGGTTCGTCACACTTCTCCGCACTTCTACACAGCCCCAAGCTGTTGCAAGGAACTCTACCGGTCACTCAGGGCATGCACGTGTCCTGAACACAGCTCTGATTGGCAGCTTAGCCGATGGAAACCCTTGAACACAAGCCACCTTCTTTGGGCGCAAGCTGCGGAGCCAAGGCAAGTAACCTGGACCTGGCTTCACAAGGCTTCCCAGAAGAGTGCAGAGCTTCAGGCTCTTACTTCCTGCCTCCTGGCTCGAGGAAAGCTCTGGATCCATCGGTGTCGAAGCTCTGCCGGCCAGGTTCGACGAGAACATCCTTTAAAATATCAGGCTGTAGCTGGGAATGGAAGACCTACCCAGAACGCAAGCGCGCCGCGAATGGTGAAGGTAAGCTCTGAGCGTAGTGTCGTGCTGCCTTCTGGACCTTGCAAAATCTGCTGAATGGTCCAAACAAACCTCTGGCAACTCCCAGGGTCCCAACCCTTGTCTTGCAATCCGGGGACAAGTGGCCGCCCTTGGATGCCTGAGCTAAGGCAAGCTGCAAGCTGCTGCAAGCACCAGTCCTGAAAACGAGCACACTACGAGCACATTACCAACGCAGGTCCCCCAGGTCAGCGACGAAGCGCTTCAGCTGCAGAAGCACAAGTGGCTGCCTGAGCCGGGAATACACCCCGCATCAACCACGCGCGTGCCCATAAGCCCATGCCTTCCAGAGGCAGAGCTGAAGATGCTGCCTGCCATCTGTACACGGATCTGCCAGTTTCATGGCAGGCCGGCATCTTGATTCGTTGATGTAAGCTAGTGGTTATAAGTGCTCATACTGGCTGCCATCTGACAAGAGTGCGAACTTGGTGGCGCACCTCCACTTTCTAAGCCTCCAAGATCATCATCCACGCTTACCAGATGGGAGAGACTACCTTCGGTGAAAGAGACTCCAAGCAAGGATGGTCCTAAGTCCTAAGCGTTGTTGGTTTGACCCGGGAAGGCTCTCTGGCCTTCAATTTCGTCTCGGACTTGTGTACTGCACCTCACGACACTGACACTAAACTGTTCCAAAAGATGCTTCAGCCTAAGATTCGAGCAACACCTGCGAGTTGTTATGGCTGCTATGGATTGGAAATGCATGGCGAGATCCTGGCTTCGCAGCAGCTGGTAGACATGAAGCTAAATAAGTCTCCACCCGGGCGCGAGGAGAGATCGTGTATCAGTTGGTCTCGCCCAGGTGGCCCACATCCTTTGGACCTCGCATGCCGGCTGTTTGCGGATTTCTCAAGCCACCAGTGCCGATCCAGACTAAAACAACTCGGAGATGTAAAGCCTGTCAGAAAATGCATGTTTGCAGGGCCCTTCTCTCTGGACGGCCCTTCTCTCTGGACCACTGTATGCTGAGTGAATCGTGAGGGACGGGCGTAGAGCCCATGGACCTACCACCGTCCCGTTAAAGGTGAGACTCATCTATGCCATTTGTGCTGAACAACGGTCGTCTGTCTACCGTGCTAGAGAGAGAGAGGTTCTGGAGCACTGCAAGATACTGCAAGTCTGGCAATAAGTCTATGTCACAACAACACATGACACCGCAGCTAGGCTACGCAAAGAGCCCAAGCAAAGCATGCCCAAGCCACAGTGAGTGGAAATGGAACTTGGGAGATGTCGCGGTACATTGCTTTTGCTCACAGCGGAGTTGGCTCGGTTGGCCCGGTTGGCCCTGAGCCATGTGATGAGTGAAACGATGCCTTTGACTGCCCAGAGTGCTGAGCTGCATATCACATGGAAAGTTCTCAGTGAACTTTCCATGCTGATTCAACTTCCTAATCCTACGCATATCTGCGCATCTACTGGGACAGATGCTGCAAGAACTTGCTTGAAGAAGGACCTCTGCAAAGCAGAAAAAGGAGTTCAGAGTTTCATGCACGTCAGTCACGTCAGTCCAGGGCTTTGGCCAAAGAACACGCCGATTTGGTGAGGGCCCCGCATTGACGCCACCTCTGAAAGTTGAGAGCTAACTGTGCATGGCTGGTTTTCGGGTTGCTTAGTCTTTCACAACTGTGCGAAACTCACACCTTGACTGTGTTACTAGGGCTACCAGGGTGGAAAGACTTGTTCTGATTCGCCGCAGCCTTGGCCCCCCCAACACGTTAACCATCTCAGGACTGGGGCACTGCAAAACCTGTAGCAACAACTTGCACTCTGTCGCAACTGCTGTTTTTTTCTGCGGCTGACACGGCTTCTCGTGCCAAAGCATGAAAGAATGCAACGGCGTGCAGTCCACTACGGCACTACGAGCAACGACAAAACATCACCAGGCCTTGGTGACGTTTCTCACCTAGGAATGGGTGAAGCCAAGCAACCGCCAAAGGTCGTTGCAATACGCCAGTCATAGCCAACTTATGAAAAAGAATGAAACACAGCAACAACTGTCTCGCCCTGCAGAGAATAGGGTGCAGTGAAAACAGCATACTATATGCGAGTATGCAGTGTATCTTCTGTCTGGACAGCATGCAACCCAAGGTGAATACGGTCTCGAACTTTAAGAATACAACCAAATGCTGCCAAGGCACAGCACGTGGGTTCACCATGTTGGCGGGAAGCGACACGACGGCGTTGCTGCCGCTGTCAGCAACGAAAAGAGTGTTTTCCTGACAGTCTGTACTAAGCGCAGCGTGAATGTGATGCTGACACACGCATCCTACAGAAAGGATGCTGTTGAACATGCTTAAATCTGGTGTCTCGAGCAATCTCAAGTACCAGTGTGGCTCAATCTTGTTGCAAGAGCGGGTCCTTGTCATAAGCGCAGCCCCGTGGTTGTTGCAAGCGTGCCACTTCCGTCACGTTGCCGGAACCATCTGCCTGGACAGAACTGCCTCCTCCTAGACCGCCCGTCACATCTGTTCGAAACTTTGCATTTTCTTGGCTTATATCTCGGCGGTAGCAGACACACACACACACAAAGCAAAGTACGATGCAGCCACCTTGACTGCAAACAATGATTCGCCATCACCGGTGAAAAACACCTGACAGGTTTCTTGGCAGCGAATGCATCCATCCAGATGCAAAGCCTGCGGTACTCACACTGATACCTGAAAAGCTGCCTGCAACCTGCGCACACCTGCGCACACCTGCGCACACCTGCGCACACCTGCGCACACCTGCGCACACCTGCGCACACCTGCGCACACCTGCGCACACCTGTGTGCACACCTGTGCACACCTGTGCACACCTGTGCACACCTGCGCGCTTGAAAGCTTTGGGTCAACACTTGGACAGCAGCAGCCAAGCCAAGCACGTTGCTACCAGCCAGGCAGACATCTTTGACCATGGCCTCACCAGGGGGCGACCGTCGAGTCGGGAAAATGAGTCGAAAATCGGGTGGACTGAGTCAGAAAACAAGTCAGCACGAGTCAGAAAAAAAGGAACGAATCGAGCAGGTCCTTCTGAAATCCTGAAACCCTAAACCTTAAAAATCCTCCTAAGACTACCCTCAACCCTAAAACCCTGGACAGGAGCATCAGTGTTTGTTTTAGGGTCGAGCACTGCCCCCGTGATGGGCGGGCAAACCTACATCTTCACATATTTACGTATGCTTTGGGATCTATTCGTGTCTCTGCGTAGTGGCCTCGCACGTGACTCAACTTGGATCTGATCTCTGTATGGCGGGGCTCTAGTTGGCGTCCAAAGTCTGGGCCCTGCAACCCTTTGCCCGAACCTATCACACCCCTCATGCTGTCCAATCGATGGGACAACATTCCCACAGACAAGGGCCCACTCGGACCAAGCGGTGTTTTTTCCGTGGGAGGAGCGGGGGAAGGGAGGGGGGGGGGGGGGGGGGGGGGGGTGGCCTTCTGTTATATATTGACTTGGTTCCAGGTCGTTTCTGACTCAGGGCTTCTGCCTTTTCCACTCAGACCAGTTGACTCAAGAGCACTCTTCGCTCCCACACCGACCCACAGGCTCAAGTGCCGCTGGCAACGATGCTGCTCACCGAAGTCCGAGCTACCACCGAACCGAACAATGAAACTGCATTCCACAGCTCACTGCAGCTGATCATGTGATGGAAAGCGCAAAGTCTGCCTGGTACATGTCGCTCGTCCCGGACAGGATTTTGGCAGACTTTGGTTTGCCAGGCGAAGCCTCCACACAAAATTTGCAACATCTACATCTTGTGAAGACTGCGCAACACGCCACTTAAGAGCTACTGCTCCCGCCTTCAACAGGGTGCCTTTCTTTTGGTCGCCCTGTGCGTCAGCCAAACGCATGCAACTGTTCCGTCTTCGCATGATTTTGCCTGCACCCTGGCACCATCTGCAATCATTCAGCACCCAGTTCTTCGAATAAGAACAAACACTGGCACTCGCGGCTGGGTTGGGTGAGTTCAGCCAACACCTTCGACCAGCCCAAGCTGAACTGAAAGCCTTCAGGTTTGCCCAGTACACATCCACTGCATCCACCGCAAGGCCAGCTGGGCCAGCTATGTACTCAAGCTTCTCGGAGCTCAGGAGTGCCCTGCATGCCAGAAACCGCAGAATGAAGGTCGAAGGTCGTGTGTCAGATCTCCCTGTCCCTGGCCTGCCCTTCGGAATACCCTTGGACATGTCCTGGCCAGAACAATCGAGCTCCAGAAAGTCCCAAGCCCTTCATCATGCTCCCTAGCGTCACCACCGCCTTCTGCCGCTTTGAACTTTGAAGGGTGACTGTCACAGCCTCACTACTCTCCTTCGTTTGGGTCTTTACTAGAGCTACAAGTTTCGACCTGCAAGCGGATGCAAAGCCAGGCCTCGGAACTGATCATGGAGACCACTCCAGCCTCAACAAAAGCGATTCTGATTCTAATTGGCGTCAAGACTTCTCAGCCCGAAAGCTCTCTACTCCAGTTCTGCGTAGCTTGCAACCCGCCTTGGAATCTGTGTAGAACAAGTTGCCATAACTGTCCACGGCAAGCCAGTGTGCGCTATCCTCCAAAGGCGACAGGGGAGAAAAGTATGTCCTGCGAAGAGCCTTCACCATGCACAACGCACTGGGCCACTGCGACCTTCAGATCGCTTGCCACGAGCTGCTGGGAGTCTGCTTGGAGGCCACGCCAGGTGGCTGACACCTTAGGGCGACAGCTTTTACCGACTCTGAGCGCGATACATTCAAAGAAAGGATCAGCAAGCAGCACAGCCTCAATCCATCTCAGTTAGCCTGCACCTGACAATTAAATTCTGAGGCCGTCGGCCTCATAGCGGTAGAGGAAGCCCACCTCAAATGGTCCAGGATATGTTGGGCAACGGGACTAGATTTCCCCATGAAGCCTCGCTAATCCTATCTGCACAGGGTAGTGATGAGCCACTGCCATCAAGAAGCCTTCGGGTCTGAAATGTAGAGCCACGCAGATCCCCCCCCTTTTTGGTAGAGCCTTGGTCTCTGAGCAGTTCAGACACAAGCAAGGAGCATCGTCTGGGCCTGGGCCTTTGCTTCAGAAGTGTGGCCCCTATGGCCCCTGACGCGAGCCCCGTCGGCTCTTCCAGCCCGCGATCTGAATGCTCGGAGCAGGTCCAGCCCCAGCACCTGCGTCCCAGCGAGGTGACAGGCATGTCCGCTCAGTGGCATAGCCATGGGCAGCCACTTATTGCATCATTCTTGCGCTGTACGCTGCTTGAATTCTGAAACGACACCGTCAGACAGCCATTCGTAAGCCAGCAGCTTGCTGGCTTTGCCGTCGATAAGAATCTGCGCATCCGGGATCCATCGATCCTGTCACAGCATGCTACGATCAATGGCATCAATCACATCAACGACCCAAGTTGAGTGTGTGGAATGAGCCGCAATGAGCGCCGCCTTCACTGGCAAGGTGAGGTCATGCAAGGAAGGCAATGGGGCCCACAGCACGTTTCTAGTGGTAGGAGAAGTGACCTGACAGAACGCAGTGTCTGCCGAGCAGTTGAGTTGAGACCCGACTCACCCCACGTCGAAACTCGCAGCACTTGTGATCTGCTGCCAAAGAGCTATTACGAAGCGGTCTGGCCTTGGTGAGCAAAGCTGAATGACGGCCGACTTGGTTTCCGAAAGCATACTGCGCCTGTCATACCCACCAATCTCGCGCGAGATCAACAGGGCCACCGCGGCCAAGCCACCTACAGTAGCACGCCCGATGTTCAGTTCTTAACAGTCGTACTAACACAGTACGGCGAGCAAGTTTCACATCTGGGCACGGAACTTATGGAAGCAACCAGGGGTCCCAAAGCCATGCTTCGTCCAGCCTCGCCTCACGAGAAGGAAAGGTGAGGACATTCTCTAGTGGCGGCCCAGTTCCTTCGCATCCCCCCATTACCCTCCCCTGCCCTAAACCAAACACCCTCAACCAATCCTGAACAGGAAAACCCTGAATCAGACCCTACTACACCCGAAACCCCCCCCCCCCCACCGAAACAGCGAAGTTCCAGGGTGAAGACTACGTTAGGGGGAACTGCGTCAGTTCTGAATGACATCCGCAAATGCAAGGGATGCTAGGATGGCGACCCTAAACCCAATTTGGCACGGACACTCAGGCCCTTTGTGGGGGGCCCATGGGGGCCCAATGGATTCAAAGAAACGTGTAAAAATGTTGCAGACATCCAGCCTCAGCACCGGCACATGGAGGCATGCAGATGATGCCTGGCTCAATGGCGGCTCGCTCACAGGTACCCCACCCCCCCCCACGTGTCATAGGGCTCCTACCTCAGCACCTCTTTTGGACCTAGCTGCATGGTCCCCACTGCTGGCCACCCTTGATATTACCAACCCAAAGCCCTCAGCCCTGGAATGCCAACATGCTGGCCGACCTCTACAAGCTTCGTTGGATGTCGCGGCAGGCCGCTCTATGGCAGCAGAGCCGAGACGGCAGAGGACATGCATGTTCCAAGGCCTCCAGCTTGCAAGGCATCTTACCGAAACGTGTCAAAGCATGTGTTGCCTGGGCTGAAGTGGCTGGTGACCGGTCAGGGCTAGGTGATCATTCCTGAACCTACTTGTCCAGGAGAATAAGCAACTGGCTGCAAAGCACCCAGATCGAAACGCAAGCAGGCTCTAAGGCCTGCGGGAAATGCAGTGACGGACGAGCCCACGGAAGCTAGAAACTAACCTAGCCCCCTGGCTGTGCCTCTGTGCAATACGGGTCAAACAATGATCGCAAAAATGACGTGCAATGCAATCTTGTCGGTGAAGGTGCCAGGAGCAGTACATTGTGCATGTAATGGGAAGGAGACTGTGAACAAGACCCCAGCAGCAGACTGCAATGCTGCCGAAGACAGAATGGAAACCGTTCTTCTCAGTCAGCCCTTTTCCGGAGCTCTCCCTGCCAACAGACAGGGAGTGCCACCAAGATAAGCTATGCCAGCTATGCAAGGCTTCAGTTCGACAGTGCTCATCTCTCGCCATTGTTGGGAAATACTGCCTCCTGCTCGCTCTTGTTCTCCTCGGGCATCTTCGTTTCGGGCCTGGCAGCACTTTGTGTGCTCTACGGAGTCGACATGCTGCGAGTGGCTCCTTGGGCCCTGTTCCAAGCGCCGCACGTCTTTTTCGGCTCCTTTCCTTCGGCCATCATCTGCTTTGCAAACCTGGGTTTGGGCATCGAGGACGGAGACTGTGAAACAGGGTCGGCGGGTGCAGTTTCATCGTCTCCGCGGTTATAGCTTCTCCTTTGTCCACTTCCCGTTTGGCACCGGATCGACTCTCGGCTGCGTCTTCTACTGGGCATGGGGGAGGGCCCAAGAACCTGCACGTGGCACTGCGTGGCAGCCGACAAGCGCGACATGTTCTTTTATAGCGTTAATACTTCCCAAAACATCAGCTCGAGTGACAGCGGTCCCCCGAAATCCCCCGATCCAACGACCCTCGCCTCCAAGAGAACTGACCCTCCGTCCTCCTTTCTCATTCTTAAATTACTTCCGTTCATTCTTTTCGGTTGTCGTTGTCCCTGCCTCCCCGCCCGTTTTTCATTTCTGTCATGGGGTTCGGGGACCGAGCTTTTGGGCAAGTTTGCAAGCCCCGGCTGGGATCCGTACCCTCTGGGATCCGTACCCTCTGAGGTATTGCCAGCGAACTCTTCACGTGGCCCGTGGTACACTCTCTGACATCGCTGCCCCTCCCCCAATTAATACTTGCCTTTGTTCACGGTGTTCTGACTGGATCATGTTTCAGTTCGAGCCCGGAGACCTTACCCGCAGCATAACTCATAACCACTTAACTCGAGTACATTCGGTTACATTCTCGTACACAACGGTGGAGGGGTGCTGCACGGTCTTGTATGGGCAACCTCTGTTGTGAAAACCTCACTTGCTCAACCGGAAAATTCTATCTTTTTTCCCCTTGAATCCAACTCTGCAATCCGATAGGAAACCGCTGACTCTGGGCTCCGTCGGTGCGGCGCCCTTTTTGGAGACCCCCTTTGCCCGGGCGCTCTGGAGCTTCAGTTTCCCGATGCGACCCCGGCATTCCTCATGTCGTGGGAGTCATATGGGGTCATGGTTTCATAATTTTCCGTCCTTCTTCTTTCACCATCTTTCTTCTGCCGTCTCTTGTGGAGGGGTGTTCTCGGGTCTTTGGCTTCTAGGACGATAGCGCTGCTGCTGAGACTGGTGGTTTGTTTGTTCCGGCCAATTGGTATCCGCGCAAACCTCTCTCTCACACTGTTTCACCCACTGTGCTTGTACACAACAGACTCACTCCGGCGCTTGGGCCGCAACTCGCCCGCCTGCTTGGCCTCTTCACGCATAACCGTTCGGACAGCTTCTGAGCATTTCACTGAACACTGCACAGGGTTGCTACTTGGCTGTGGCATGGTTTTTGCTTGGGGGCAGTGGCATGATGCAAGTCCATCGGCCTGCCGCGAAATGGCGTCACGATCCAGCTCCAATTTGGCGCAGCGCCTCGGGGCTTCGTTGGCAGCACAGCCTACAACAAACAGCGCATCCCAAACACCAACTTGACAGACCCCAACTGCCGATGTCGTGAATGCAATGAAATGTTATGAAATGCACTGAAATGTAATGAAATGCAATGAAATGCAATGAAATGCAATGAAATGCAATGAAATGTAACGTAATGTAATGTAATGCAATGCAATGAAATGCAATGAAATGCAATGAAATGCAATGCAATGAAATGCAATGAAATGCAACGAAATGCAATGAAATGCAATGCAATGAAATGCAATGAAATGCAATGAAAGGTAATGAAATGTAAAGTTGCTGCCCTTCGCAGACGACGTCAGCAAGGCAGCGATAGGTCGCAGACCCAGTCGTGATGTGCAATGCTTGGATGGCCTGAGCACTGGAACAGGGCAACTCGTTGCATTCGCTGCACACCGACGTAACTGACTTGACGGACTTAACTCTGCAGAGGGGCCATCATCGTCGCCAAGTTCAGCGCAAGGACCAGCGCCCCTTCCTAGCAACGTCGTCTCAAAATGTCTGCAATGTCTGCAAGTGTTGTGTTCCGCCCATGACTTGTCACTTGTCCTTGGCAGCGAAAGCCTCAAACATTTGAGCATTGGCCATGCTGGCATCAGATGAAGCTCCTGTGAAGGATGACGGGCAACGAGGGAGGTCACCCCAGATCGGACATTCCTCACAATACATCTCTAAACAAGGCCATGCCTGCGGATTTGAACACGTTCCTGAGGCAGTCTAGACCTGAAACGGTGGCGCGTGCTTTCGTGCACTTTGCTGCACTTGGCCTGATTTGGCCTGTGCCAACAACTGAGGCACTGGCACAACACGAGCATGACGCACCACACGATCTTTAGAAGACCTAAAGCACAAAGCGTCCACCAAGCGACGAAAGTGGAGCCCTCACTAAGACAGCAACCACACACGGGCGTGTCCACAAACAAAGTTGTGACGGAGTGGACCGCAGACTGCGTCAAGCTATGCATCAAGCTACCAGCTCTGCGTCAGCTTGCATTGAGACCGGCAGTCGTGAAGCTGAATGCGTTGCAAGCCTGCATGCCGCTGCCAAGAAATGCAACCTCGGAAATGCGTTCACAGCAGCATTTAGTGCACACGCAATGATTCGAAAGGGATGCTGGGATTTGTGGCATACTCGAACATATTTTATCACTTCGTCATGCTTTGTGGCATCCTGTGGCATCCTGTGACCCCCGCAGCCGCATACTGCACACCCAGCAGGGGGAGCCAGAGCAGCAGAGGCCAATAGGCCAAGCCTGAGGGCGCCCAACAATTCCCAGATGCGCAAAACGCTTAGCCCCCAAGATGCGTGGGCGTAATACAAAACTGGAACTCAAGAAGGGAAGAAGGGACCATAGCTTAGAGATCTTTTAAGAACTGGCCACATATCTCCATTGCTCAGCATGGAGCCAATCATAGGCACCATGGTGCTCTTAAAGGCAGCGCTAGGCCCACGCGTGGATTAGCAGCTAAACACAAAACCTACTGAAGGAAGCTAGAATACATGCATGTGTCCATGTATGCGATTCTGACCGACTGTGGAGAAGCGATGTTGTGAAGGCTCTCTCATTGATTGGTCTTCAAGCAAAAGCTGCAGCAGAAGTTGCAGACTGGGTGGCAAAAGCTGTAAGAGAAATCTCAGGTACAACTTCAGGCGACACTTCTTCTTTTCGCACATCCTTTCAATGTGCCTACATGTGCCTACCCCTATGCGGTGAGACTCGGTGGAAAATTGCCCTACTCGACTCAGGCCGCAGCCTGTCGGAAATGAGCAGAAGGTCTTATTGGGCACAGGGTCAAGCTTTTGCAGGCTCATGTCCTGAGCGGATGAACGAGTGTACCGTTATGGAACAGCAGTAGGGCAGTGGCAACAGTTGCACCTAGAAGTGTTTTCGAATGTCCAAAAGGCTCTCTTCCGTACCAAGAATACGGAGAGGATTCAAGCCGCCGGTGCAAGTTGGCAGCCTCGATCATCAACTACAACGAATCGTTGGTACACTAGAAGTGTAAAAAAAGGTATTGCGGCGGAGACAACAAAAAAAACACCCAGATGTGTGTGCAGGATAGGATCTGTGGCTCCAGCGAAGGGGGTCTGTCACGGGTCAACACAAGCTAAAGGGTGTGGACCACACAAGGCATGTGTTTTCTTGTGAAACGGGTAGCTGCAAGGATTCGAAGAAATACGTTATAGACGTAGCTTTCAGATGACAATAGGCGCATGAAGTTTCGATATCAAGAATCAACACTTGGCATTCACTGAGCTTCAATTTTAATCTTCGGAATCAGCGGTTCAATTGGCAAGTGCTATACGACAGGGCAGGGAAGAGAAGGAGAAGCGGGATCTGGAGTGACTGAACGACTGCGCAGCCTCCACACACGCACAAAAAACAAACAAAAAAAACGAAAAAGCGAACCAACAAAACAACAAACCGGGACCGACTGCATTCGTCTCTGCACCTTGGGGAAGCCTGCTGCAATTGGCACCTTGTGGCGCTTGGTCTCGCGAAGTGCGGGCATCTCAACCGCATCAGCCGCTTCCTGCATTGGCATGCATAGAACTTCTGCTGTAAATTCAGCGGGCAACTGACATTATCTGACATCCGATATGCCGTGGGCATCTCCAAGCCTCATCGGAGGAATCCACAACAAACTCTGGTGCTGCAAGAGCTCCACGAGATAGAAGCAAGGCAGCCTGCGGAGGCTGCAGCACGAACCCTGCAGAGGCCACAGCAGCAGAGGCCACAGCAGCTGTGTTTAGTTAGTTCCTTCTTTCCAGTTCCTAGACCCTGATCTATGAGTGCCCGGAGCCTCATCCTTTGTCAGTTCTTGCACAAATACGGTGTTTGGTGTGCACTTCTTACGGGACTGTTGTGCGCTGCCTGCTGCATGCAGTTGCATGACGAAGTGAGGGAAACTGAGGGAATTCTGGGGATCTTGAAACCACTCCCTAGCCTCTTGAGACGACAACTGTGTCTGCCTAACTCAAGAGAAGATACGTTCTCTTGGCGGATCGCCCCCCCAACCGGGGTCCTGATGAAACTGACAGGATTCGGGTATCCGGCATTGTCTCGACCCCATGTCAAGAAAGGACGCGCGGAGTCTTGGACATTAAAAAGTGTCATGTCTTGTCTGAGTACAACAAGGCTTAGCAAGTTGCAGAGCAAGGTGGCTTGGATACGGTGGCAGGATGAAGGGGCTCGCGCCTGTAGTTCGGCTTCCTCCGCTGCCAGGAGCTCTTTTCGCGAGGCTTCCATGGCCTCGCAAAAACGGCGTGAGAGAAGGCAGCAACGTGGCACTTTTCTGAAAAATCTGAAAAGAAATCAGCGCGCTGCCTGCTCCATGCAAGAGAAACCTCCCTCCCAAAAAAATGAAGAAAAACCCTTTGTCAGATGCACCTGCGCCTCACTGGAGGCAGCAAGAGCTTCTGCCAGCAACCTGGGGATCGGCGGATCCACTCTGAGCACCGCATGGCACTGCAATGCCGGCAACCTCTTACAAGTCAAGCTGTCGATGATTTGGGCCAGCTTAAAGCTTGGCCTGTCGTCCGACTCGGGCTGCAAGTCGATCACCGACACGCCTGCAACATGAAGAATTTTGTATGGGCCGCCACTTGCCACACCTCTCAGCCGAAGGTCCAGTAGAGAGGCCTCTCGAAGCCGCCATGGCCTGAGATCCAAGCACTTTTCTCACTACTAAACCAATGAGGATCCCAAGGCAATGCCTCTAACTGAGGGCACATCCTGTTCAAGCTGCTGCTCTTCCTGAACACGCATCCTGGGCAGTTGAAGATGGTTGGTGAGCTGGCCGCTTTCACATCAATTGAAGTTTCCTGGCGTGTTGACCGATGTCTCCCAATCCCTCACACATCCCTCCGATTTTCTGGGAGCCGCCGGAGAAAAGGACCAGAGAACCATGGGTCTTAGGTATGCAAAACCTGCCCTTCTCCCATGGCTTAGGAAGTGGCGAACACAAATTCTGGCAGTTTGTTCGTCGTTATGTCGTCTTAGGAGCAGCAAAACATGCCAAGCGCAGCGTTCTGTGTCAAGAAGCCCAAACAACAAGGGCTGCTGATGATTGACTGCGGTCAAGCAGAGCACAATAACACACTGGTTTCTGTCAGACTCTCTCGGCGCGTGGCTGCTCGAGGCTTGCAGCAGCAGCTTGAGCGAGAGACTCCTGCCAAGGGTTTGGCTGCCTAGCTCGATGTTCCGCGATGTTCACCAAAAGGTCTTGCAGCGCAGGCAAGCGTGTCAAGTCCTCAGAGATCCAGTCCAGCACCTCTGCCACCGCAGTCCCGACTGTCTTCTTGCCAGCCACTTGCAACGCCGTGGCGGCTTCCACAAGACCTTCACAACACGTGGCTTATATCCCGAATAGTATTTGCCAACCACCTTGCTGCGAAACCTTGCGTCAACACTTCCCCTGGTAAGCACATGCGGCACATCAGCACAGGTACCTTTCATGATCTGCCGTGGCTCGAAAGCATCCAGAGGTTGCGCAGTTGGCCCCTTAAAGATCCATTCCGAAGCAAGCATGGTTTACAGGAGATCGCTGACGTCCTTTAAGCGCTGCGCATAGGATGTCTGCATGTAGCTCTGAAGCTGTTGCTGCCTGCAGAGTGTCCATCTGCATATCGGGTAACCCGGGTGGCAAGGTGGCCTGGAACTAGTACTCGGCTTGGCCCCTGTGTCAAGCCAATCCATGAGACAAAAGCTTTGCTCATCTGACAATATATTGAAGTAAACTTGGGAACGGACAATCCTCGCTGCCATCCGCGATCTGCACCTGCGAACGTCAAGTCTGATAAGACATTCCTTCTCCACTGCTCTGTAACATGCAGCATCGCCACACAGCCATCTTTTGCTCGGATGATGCTCTGTGCCACATACACACGCCCTTCAGTGCGCACTTGAAGGGCATCCCCAATGTCTCTCATTTCACAGAGTCACAGAAGCTCTAGCAGAACTTGCGAATTGTTGCGGCCTTGTCCAGCTGTACAGCAACAGTATGTTGCTGCTGACAGTCATGAGAAAGGACGACTGTTCCTAAATTTTGCTCAAGGAATGCGACGATGCTACGAGATTTCACAGGTCCAGCCGCGTCCTTAGTAGAACCTAGGAGTTGCTGAAGTACCTGGGCGGCTCAAGCTTCAAGAAGGCTCTGCATGGAAATTTCAGCGCATGACCAAACATGAGCAGACATCGGCCCGCCAGATCCCACACATCCTCCAGCCATGCGTGACCCCCAAACCCCAAACCCCTCGAAAAGCCGAAGACTGCCTAATTGCGGGTCGACGCGTGCAGTGGAGTCAAGATTGACATGTAAATTATGAATCATGAATGAAGACATCTGAAGACCATGCGCAACTCACTGCAGTCAAGCCGCGCAGGGATGCGTATTTTCCTGGCACCCGCGTCAACAGTCAACGCTTCTGTAGGCCTGCTTAGACTTAAAGCTGCTGAATGTTCCAGCGAGGCTTCTATTTAACACTTGCTCGACGAGCAGCCGTGACTTCAGCTTGTCTTTGGCAATAACCATCGTTGCATTCCTCATCTCATCATCAAGGATCATCATCGAGCGCTGTGGAGAAGCCAAGGAGCTAGCTACATACAATGGATGCAAAACCGAAGCAGAGTACTGAACGTGGAGTGAGGGGCTGCTCACTGGTACGGTCTGGAAACCACCAGTGCTCTTCCAGGAGGATCTGATCGATTAGCTCGGCATCCTTGAACTCTGCCAGGCAAGGCATAACTTCGTACTCGGCGCCCTGTGCAACATGTGGGCGCACAAATCATGCAAGGATCCGGAATGCACATGATTGTTGATCTGTGGCCGATTTGCCTCGATGTCCACCTTGAGTATGACCCAATCATCTGGAATCACGCTCTCAGCAACCTGGGCATTTACCAGAGAACGAGTCCCAAGTGTACTCCTACAAGGAAGCCCTCATAGCTGGAAGCTCCAGTTCTTCTACATCTTGTTGGTAGCCAAAACCAACACCCAAGCTAACATCCCAAACTACTGAGTATGAATCTGGCTGAAGCAGCGAGTTTGTTGACGTTGATAGTTGGAACGGTGACTTCCTTTTCGCCCACCTTCTCATCAAGACTGGAGGCCCAGTAGTTGTGTGTCGGATCAGCATCTATGGAGAATGTTGTTTCGGTTTCACAGCTATAGGCAGCTGTTGCAGCGAGTGAGTGCACTTTGCCAGGCAGATTGGCTTCCAACGCTTTGAGCTTCTTGCTGAACAATGGGTTCGCCTCTACCAGAATGGCTTCCCAGTCGCCACCATGCGGACAGTTGCCCACCGGACCATAGTCATCAGCAAGAAAACTGTCAAACGTGTTTCCATCGGCTGCACCCAAATCAATAAATACACACTTTGGCTGAGTCCTTGCTGTTCTCTTCCAAGACGGGCTGTTGGCTTCACAGCTGCAGCCGGGCTTGCGCAACCCAGCAGTTGCTGCAGTGCGCGAGGCTCCAGAGGAGTTGCTCCGCAAGTGTGTGGCAGCACTGCGCAGAACAAAAGCAAGGAGCACCCACCGCATGTTCGCTAAATTCAACCCGGAGTCAAGGCTTGAACCTGAACAAATATTTGAGAAGGACCTTCGACACGCTCTGGCAGGCTGCAAGGATTAACGGTTAATGCGCCCACACGAACCTGATGACAGCAGGCACCTCGACACCACCCATCTCAGCCTGCATTCCGTTGCCAATGAGTGCCTCGCTGAGGAACATGATGTGCGTGTGTGCCCGCGGATGCGTGCGTGATCGTGCACGTGTGTACATATATATATATATACATATATATATATATATACATATATATATATACATATATACACATTGCCATGTGTGTGTCTGAGCGCACGCCTGTGTACCAAAGTGAAGCAACAAGAAGATCGGGCAGGGCATGTCAGGGAGCATACGTGTTTCGTTTCAGCTTAGGAGCGAACCGCGCAACCACATCAAGCTTGGTTGTATGTCTTATTCCTGTCTCAGGCTATGGACGTAAGCAACACCGACGAGCGCAATTCTGTTACGGCAGCGTTTCGGGTCTCAGGGCACTGACGAAACCGAAGAGCGCCATTTTGTTCTGGCGGCCACTACCCTCTACAGCATCAGCCCCAGCGGCTTGACCTATCTTCGAGATGATGGGGCCTTGACACTCAGGAGGTTGCACGAGTCTGCTCTCGGCGGCGTTCCCCCTTGGGGGCTGTCGATTTTGGGGTTTTTAAAGGGAGGATGTCTCTCTCGTGCGACCTGACAAAGAAGTGAGCTGAGTTGCTTTTCCGTCTGGGAAGCCTGGAATTAACGTCTTGTCGCTACATGAGACCTGAACCCAGAGCTCGATGTCTTTCCTGAACATGAAAAGAGCCGTGATGTGCTACACGGCTCCGCGCTTTGTTTCTAGCTTCAGCCCTACCACTGTGCCTAGACTTGGTGGAAACACAAAGCCGAACCCTGGAATGCCAACGGGCGAATCAATCCGGGATTGGAACAATAAGCAGTGGAAATCCTGGGGCAATCCATCCTCCAGCAGTTGGTAAGAGACGGTTTCATATGCATCACCTGTTGCTGCTCCAGCCGACGGCTGCCTGCTCAGTTTCATAGTGACGGCACTTTCTGGATAAGCACCAGCTGTAGCGCCACATTCAGTCAACGAACTCAGGGGAGGGGCGGACGGAAAGACGCGTGAGCGGGGGCGGGGGAAAAAGACGCGTGTGCATGCCAAAACAGTGTACGGGAACTGGGCCGGGTACAATGGCAATTCGCTGGCTGCCTGATGGAAGACGGCAAGCCGTCACAACCTTTGCCAAGCATGAAACTTTCAAGCGAGAGCATGGAAGAATGTCGTGTCTTTCCTGAGCTTGCATCCCGTCGCCACTTCGCAGGATAACGCCATGGCGTTCTGATCCCACGTTGCCTTCAAAGCAAGCATGTATGGCATGTTCAGGGCTGCTATAGGGGCCATAGCAACCCACCTGGGACCAGGACAGTCACTTGCGATGTGACCCGGCTTGCCGCAGTTGAAGCAGGTGACCTCGCGACTTGCGACTAAGGCACGCCGATGCAGGCCCGATGCCCCGCATCTGGGTGTGCCTCTGCACTCTTGTCCGTCTCTGAACTGGGTGCAGCCGATAGCAAACCTGCAACGGCAACATGACACAGCATGTGATTAACACAAGAGAAGCCCGACGAAGTCCCACATCGCGAAGCAGCCTTCAAAACAGCGCGCCGTCATCACCTTCACCTCGAAGCTCAGCAACACCCCACACTGCTAGCATGCACCGGTTGAAGCTGGGGGCTTTATATGCTGTCTCAACACGCAGAAGCCTCTGCTGTGAGCTTCACAGTCACATCAGAGCTTGTAGCGTTGGCAAGCAGCCTGGATACTTCAGAGGCATGTTTCGCCGGGCAGGCACTGCAATCCCGGCATCAGGCCCCGAACAGCAAGACAGCGCCTTCACCCGTTACCTGACAGGTGCAGCTGGAAATGCTGCTCGAGGAATCGGGATATTCACTTAGTACTTCGTTGCCTGAAACAGGCACAGATCAGCGCCCAGGGGTCTGACCTGCCTGCCGAGCATCAGCAAGATTGCTCAGCACAATTCCGACGCACCAGGCCTTCGAAAGCGTCGGCCGGGAACCGCTGTCAGGCTCAGGCATCTTAAGGCAGGCGAAGAGCAGGTGGTGAATGCGCCAGAATGCCCTTGCGACGTGTTTCCTTGCAAATCCTTCTCCGCCGCCCTTCGCTTCTGCATATTCTGCATTCTGAGGCAGCAACGCGGCATGCAGGCCGGTCCTTGATCAGGCCACTGCCATGCACCAACTGATGCGGCGAACGTTGCATCTTAGAATTGGACAGTGCAGCTGCAGCCATTTGTGGACAGCGCTCTGGCTCAAGCACTCGCACACCTCGCGCAAGCGGAGTGAACACGTTACTAACTGCAATTTTGTGAGCGATTATTAAGCTGTTTCATGTGAAAGTGCGTGTGGCATAATGTGACAAACCTGGCACAAGTATGTCGTTATTGTCCGCTGAACTGGCCTTAAGACAGGACTATGACCAGATTGGCTTTAGTTGCCTGGGGCTCCCAATGGGATCACGTGCTGAAAGCGCTTAGTTTATTGCCACGCTCTTTGTGCGAAACGTTCCACTGGCAACCTTCTCCCAGCTCTTAGATCTCTCGTCTCGAGGGCCTAGCGGCTCCGAGGAGAAGATCCTCATCTTGAAGGGAGCCACACGCGCCTCACTTACGTTTAAAAACAGGTGCAAATCCTGGCAAATGTTCAGCCAAAGCTGTTTCAACAACACCAGTGTGCTGCAGTGCACCTCGCCCCCATGTGCCACAGGCCCTGAACCAAAGCAGAAGGCCGCCAGCCTGACAACATCTGACAAGGTCACAGGCGGGAAGTGCAGGATGCTAAGAAGGTCACGTACTGTGACCACCGGAAGGGGACAGCCACCAATCTGGGAGCCAGGCAAATATCGTTGACCACGTTCAAGGCGGGCCTGCTATTCTGCGATGCATCGCAACGCCATGGACTGCTTAATAGTAGTCGCCGCAGTGTCCACAAAGCACGCTGCCGGTATTTGTCTGCGATGCAGGCTCTCAAACTGCAGAGAGAGAGTGATACTCTTGAATGTCGTACAAGGGCAGTCATCTAAGGGTACTTGCATGGTCCCTTTGATATGGACCCTTCAATGGGGACCCCTCGTGCTTCTCGTTTAATGCCCGATAAAACCCGCCTTGGCCCATACTTCAGAACCCTTGAAGGTAAGGGACCATATCAACAGACCATGCAACTGCCCTTAGACATGCGGACCGGAAGGAGAAAGCACACTATGGATTGACGAACCTCTCCTCAGGGAAAGTTGTGGTTGACCAGACATGTCCAAAGAGTTAGCTACTCTTCACTAGTTCCTGGGTCTGAGCATTGTATGAAGGACGGCGAATGCTTCGGCTTGATTCAGTTTTCAAACCATTTTACACATGCATGACGCTGCGCCTCAACGCACCTTCTGGCCATGATGTCTGCACAGAAGAAGTTGCCTCCAACTACCTGTTGAGAAACGGCAGTCAACTCCAACAGCACCAACGAACGATGCGACTGTGGGATTTTGGCCTCTGCGAATTGCTGGTCAGTGCCTCGGGAAATGCTTCGTGAGCCACCATAGGGCCCGTCAGTACAATACTGACGAAAGCGCGCGAAGCATGCAGACTGGCCAGTCATTGTACGCCTCGCACATTTAGGAGGAGCCGTATCCTGCACGGCCTGCCTGCGTTGGGCAGATCTGTAACCCTGCATGGGGCACGGAGCGGCGACTGCTCTGAGCCTGACTCTGGGCTGGTCGCCACACCAGTGTCAGCAATCATCGCAGACTATTGTCGTGCGATCAAAAGTGCAAGCAATCTTTGTACGTACGTTACTATACGTAGCAAAATGTGAATTCCGCGGCTGTATACAAAAACACGCCACCCCAAATTCCCAGCTGTTCGGAGAGAAAAGGAGCGATCGCGTACAGGCAGGCACTTGCAGGCAATTACACGTCAGCAATCAGTCTGTCTCTTGCATGACGATGGTGTCCTCTGCGGCAAACTCCTTCCCGGCGAAGCAGTAGTCAAACACGCAGGCATCTCGCACGAAGCGCCCTCAGAGCGCCCAATAGCAAGGTCCCAAAGAGAGCAGATCATCTAAGAATCACAGAAAAACAAGACGAAAAAAAAAGGCTCAGCACGGCCAAAATGACATTCGAGCTCTGAGCCAGCTGCCTTTACTGGATCCACACACATCCTCCGCTTTCAGACGCACCTGTTCAAGCTACAGGGGCGTTCGTCGCAGCCCAAGCACTTCGACCACAGTTTTGAGCACATGTGCACACCGCTAAGATAAGATGCCCGACAGTTCAACAGAATTGCAATACAAGCTCTCAAGTGTTTTGTGGACCGTTTGACCATGGGCATTGGACCACACAGAGTCCGCAGAGAGAACTCACCGAATCACCGTGTGGTCTCAACATCATGCGTGCTCTCTATTGCGAGATCCTCAAACCCTTCCATGCCTCTGCGTCGCATTCTTCAAGTGACCTTTCTGCAAAGGCTTGGATGCTTTGGCCTTGGCGTTTCAAGCACTTCAGAAATTCTCCGTGGATCGTTTAGGCGCACCGTGCTTTCCAATCGTGTCATGCTGAGACTGCTAAGATGCCCGGTTCGGGAAAGAGCGACTCCTCCTTGGACACTGGGCCTCCACTCCTCTCGAGGATTAGCTCCTCCCGCTGAGTTCCGGCATCAAGCAACCATGCAAGACTGAGACATGCTGCACTAGCACAGCCATGGTTTCCTCACCAGTGCTCGGTTGACATCTCGCAGATTTTCTGGATTACAGCTTGTTTGTTCGGCTTGCCAGGGCCACCCGCCAGCGTTGCGAAACTTGAAACCGTTGTCATTGCTAACAGTATCTAACAGTTCTCCTCACATTGTCCCGAAGACATGGGAGGTCTCGAGTACTTGGACTCGGCAGCTCTTGTGTGTTCAGGGCTTGAGCTGAGTTTCGGTGTTGTTGTGTGGCACAGCAAGATTGTGGACCTACGAGGCGTTGTGTGAAACATTCTTTCGCGGCGAAGATTTTCGACTAGCATCCTCCGAGTGGATGAGCCCTTAGATTTTGCCCTGGTTCGCACTTCACCAACATATGACAGAAGACGAAAATCCATCTGCAAAACTATGCCTTCCACATCCATCGACTCTAGACCATAAGCACTGTGGCTCAGCGTCAGGCCTTCGTATCATCACTGGGATCAAAGTTGAAGTTCCCACAATGACCATCCTCACCAGTTGATGGACAGCAGGAAGACAGGCAGCAAGCTATGTCGGAAGTGGTACCGAAAATCAGGGCACGTTACTAGTCACTCGTTTGCTGGGTAGCTCGCTGGCAAAGGCAAATGTTTCAGTGTGCCATGTCGCATCACCGCGCCTGACCGTAGAGCTGCTGGGGCATGCGAATGATGGCATCAATGTGCTCCGGCCATCGGTTGATCAAAATCTCCACGTTGCGAACGAAGAATGCCCGGACCAGCTTTACAGGATAGCCTTTCAGAACAGCGTCGATGTGCTCGTCGCCATCCATGAATTTGACCCTGCTGAAGGGTTTCACAAACTCTGAAGGTATCTGCTTCAGAATAGCAGCCCCATCCCAGGTAATCTGGCCATTCATCGGCTGCACGATCAAAGTCTCGTTGCGCACGAACGGGCCACTGACCGCCAGCTCAAGGAGAGCGGACTGGCCCGCCACGGTAAATTTGGTTGTCCCATAGCGGCCTGAACAACACAAACAAGAAAGGAAGCGAATGCATGTTTCGCATATTTCTGAACCTTGTGCATTTCATTACTTCTGACGACGCTAGGCAACGGCTACTAAGCAGCCATTCTGACATCTGAACGATGCTTTCCAAAACCAAAAAATTGTTTGGTGCCGCTTGAACTCGAACAAACTCCTACAGAGGCAAGTCCAAGACAGAGTCTTGCTTTGCTCTTGATTTGTGGACTACTCTGCCCTGGCTTCATTTAGCAAGACCGTCGCCTTGAATGGAGATGTCTGGATTCTTGACCAGCCAGTAGTCACCACTGGTCAGAATGGACACTGGCTCCGTTTCATCTGCTCCAAACAAACCACTGTCAAAAATGGAGATGTGCGGATCGCCCCAGATCGTGCAGGAACCCTTCACTGGCACAATGCTGGTCTCCACGCGAAACTCCGAGCCACAGCAACGTCGCTCAGCAAAGAAGAAGCTCAGGGAGACAGCGGCACCCTTTGACGGGGCTTTGCGCAAAGCTAAGTGCCAACTTCGATGAATAGAAGCAAGAACCAGCAAGAACCTTGCCTCAGTGAGGTTCAGGCTGTCCAGGTCGAAGGTCTTCTGCATGGGGTTGTGTACACCGCCCAGATCAATAACAAGACGATCATTCCTGAGCGGAGTTTCCATGCCCTCAAGTGTGCAGGGCTGGCAAGACTGGCAACCATCTCCACAGCCAGGGCAGTTTTAGGGCAGCTAGGGCAGCTAAGGAGCATGAAAACCCAAACATCATCATCTCCACGAAATGTGAACTGGTCACCACCTTAAGAAGGCCATGTCGAAGCTGCCCCGATGCTTGTGGAAGAACAATGTGCTCATGCAACGAAAGGTCCCGGCTCTTGTACACGAAAGTAGTGTGCAGCTCCAGGGTGAAGTAGAAGTTATGCTCCAACCCATCTAGTGCAATTGCACTGTCCTTCCGCATGCGCTTGCGTGAACTGCCTGCTTGCTATCTGATGGGCTGTGAAACTGAAACAAAGGCAAACCGGCGCCGAGGTTTGCAGCTTTCAGATGCTTTCAGGACTTCTCCTTCCATCCCATGCCATCAACCGGGAAGAAGCTCGGGTCGTCATGCACATAGGTTCCCGTGTCACTCTTGTTCAAGTCGAGCTTGAAGTTAATGCGACGATTCACTCCGGGCACATCTCGGAACCACTGATCGAAGTTTGACTTGTTCGACAACTGGGCCCCGCCCTTGTAAACTGGCTTCTTGTCAGGGCCGAGAGTGGACTCGACTAGGCCTTCGGTGTGTCCATCCATCGACCTAAGGAACTTCGGGGCGGGCGGGGATCCTAAGATGGCACATGATGGCACCCTAAGTACAGGACTAAGTCTGCAATAGTCTGCAGTCTTCTTCGCTGAGCAGCTGGAAGTCTGGATGGTCTGCCTTGAAGTCCCGGAGCACCGCGTCGAAGAAGATCGTGTCAGGAAAGTCCGAATCCGACTGAGTGCCAGCTGGCTGGGCCTGATCACAAGTCCCCACATCTTCGTGTGCAATGTACTCATGGCTGGCGCAGCTCACCTTCTTCAGAACAGTGAACAGTGTGTGAAGACATGGGAACGGGCCTGCGTCACCTTGCCGGAATTACTTGCTCGGTTCAGCGCAGCACGCCCATGCTGTAGCAGGATGTGGTCATGTGAAGTGCAAGTTGGGCAAGAACTCGCGGCTAGCGTCCTGCTTGAATGGAGGAGCTCACAAGCATTCGGAAATCTCGTTGGACTGTCAACATCGCAAGCTGGCTCAAAAGTCACAAGGGCCAGTCCGCACCTGAGCACAGCCAAAAACAATAACCTTGGCTCTTCATCGCACCAAGCGGAATCATGCAAACAACAAACAACAACTTCAATGGCTTCAAGTCATAGATCAAACGCCTCTCCGGCTGATGCAGAAACTCAAGTTCTTTCGGAACTCTGTTCTAAGTCAAACTGTCCATGTGCACGAAGCGTTTGGCGTGGTGTGAGGCTGCTTTGCCAAATCTTTTTCCTCAATCAAGGAGCTCACGCTCGTGTTAGTTCCACGGAACCCCTGCGGACCTCCAGACCTCCGCGAATGCATGACCCTCCTGAACATCCGCGGGCCCTCCTTAAAGGTTCCCCCGCGGAAACCCCACCTATGTCAGGACCTTCCAAACAGAAAATCGCAACCAGCAAGGCTGAATCGGAAACCAGGAGACGCATGAATGGCAAACCGCGACACGGGAGCGGGTTTCTGATGCTCTGGCTTTCGGGACACGATATGTTCACATCACGAGTGTCGTTGATTTTCCTGTTCCATTAGGGCTCCCCACTACGCACTCTGCTGTTTCAATCCACGACCCCAACCCCGGATCCTGAAATCAAGTGGGACGTAAAAAAAAAAACATGTCAAGTGAGCTGGCATCGCAACATGCTGGCAGGCAAAAACCATCAGAGCTCAGACGGACTGCCGCAACGCCCTGGCCTTCGGCCCTTCGGCCCATGACTGCTCCAAGCAGCAATCATGCAACCAAGCGGCCTAAACATCGGGTCGTGGCAGAGAGCGGATACCGGGACCACAGGCAGCTTGACAAAACGCTTCAGGCCGGACCAGTCACTTCTCCAGGCACTTCTCCAACATGCAAAAACATCTGTCGCGAGCTCAACTCAGAATGAAGCAAAGCCTAGATGAAAGAGCTAGGGCCTCCGCTCATGCGCAGCACAAGCAAGCTGATGTCGCCTCAGCAAGAAGCCAGTTCATGGTTCCACGTTGCAAAACGAGATCGCTACTTCGAAGCCCAGGCCCTACAGCAAGCAACCTGCCATGCGTGACCGATACCGCCGATGCCCCTTGCCTGGTTTGTAGCTTTTCTTCCGGTCTTCCCTGCACCAGGAGCCTGCAGAGGCGACAGCAAATTTGGGAAAAGAGCTCGGGAAAGCTGCAGAAGACCTCGGATTTGAAAAACGACCTCGAGAAACAAAGGTGACGGGCCAGGAATCAATGGAAGAACCATTCGGGCGCAGCCCTACATCTTGAACTCTTATTCCTGAACGATCGTCGGGCTTTGCCCATGTGAGCAATGATTTCTGACGAGTCAGTATCAAATATACACAGGTGAAACAGAGTACCAGGTGATTGGGACAGAATTTCTGCTGGAGACCCAAAACCAGGAAACGCTGTGCGCGACACACATGAATGCAATATGTATGAAAATCATCGCCGGAACGGCATGCATTCTCCTGATCATATGTGGCTGCAAACGAGAGCTGTGCACGAAGGAACAGAACTCCAACCAGGGCGATTTGATGCAACTTGCGCCCGTCAGCCCCCTACGACAGCATCGCTTCCTACTCAGCGTGAAACATTGCCTGGGCTGCAATGGCCCAAAGCTGGGCCCACACATGATGGCTTCCATCTGCGGAGTGTCCCAAAATGTCCAACGCCACGCATAAAGGGAGAGGGGATGCCCCAGGACATCATACCACTGAAAACTTGAACCCATGCGACCCGCAACAAACTGGAACACACGGGCAGCAAAACTGCGATGTTTGCCACTAGCGCTGGCAAGGGCCCCACAAGGCTGAACTGCGCACGACGGACCTCAACCAAGAACAGAGCCATCCTAACTCACCTAAGACCGCAGCGGCTGGGTTGCCCAGAAGGCCATTGGAGCAAACATCGTCCCCATTGGCGCATCTTCTTGTTTAGCTTTTGCTTGAGGCGACGTCCAACAACTATAGCATGGCAAAGACCCATGACTGGAACGCAAGCTTCGTCGAAAAACAGTGCGGAGCGATTCTCCGCCCTCAAGAAAAGGACGTTGAGATGATCGTAGTATGGTTCCATTTCAACGGTTGGCCTGGAACACCCAGACCCAGATAACGGTACTCAAAGGCGCAGGGCACTGGATGACCCTGACATGTGAATGAATGACTCAGGGATCTGTTTCGGACCCCATCCTCAAGGAAAACCATGGCAGCTCTAGAGTGCTCCAAAGATACCTGGCACGACCTGCAGGTCTGTCGATCAAACGCGAGACCGCAGCCCTCAAAAGAGAATCATCCGACCCAACCGCCGCAGACTTCAAGTGTCATGAGCTCAAGGCTTCGACATCAATAATAGTAGGCTTGGATACTGGGCCCAAGCCCCAACACTTCCCAAGCGCCCCAAGCAAAGGCAGGACATGTCCAAACGTCTTGCTGCAATGCAACACACGAGCACTCCAGCTCTGACCAAGCTCGAAGCTCCGAAGGCATATCCCAATCTGATATTACCACTTGTTAGGACTCCTAGGACAAACACCTTGTGCCAAAGGTGCCCTCTGACCCCATCTTCCCTTCTGTGGCCTCGCTTCGTCGGTTGCAGGGCCATGGCATAGAGGGTGGTCGCAGCATCGCAGCTCAACTCGTAGAAGTACTGGCAAAAGGAGCACCGTTCACATGTGTCCCATGCTGCCTGAAAATGAACAGTCACATCAAAGCCACGATCGGTCCTTGCATATCCGACTTCCGGAAGACTTCGCACAAAAGGCATTGGGGAAGCTTGCCGCATGCCAGCCGCGATGAGCCAGGCCTGCACCCCACTTTCCCCGTATTTGGCTGCTGACCCTCTGCACACAGAAGCTTCCGAGAGACACGATGATGCACTCTCGGCCACTATCGCAGCTGCTGAGCAACAGGCTATGGATGCCGAAACGCGCGAGACTGCGAAACGGTCTAGTACAGCCAAACTGAGGACACCACAAACATCTACGACCTTGCCAAGGTTGGGGAGACTGCTGCTGGCATCAAGGGATGATGGTTTGCATGCCCGCATGAATGAGCTCATGGGGCAAAGGCTGCTTAGCATGCCAAGTAGGTCAAGGCCCTAAGGATTCGAGACAAAGCGCTCCTTCGAGCAATGGCACAGTCTTTTTCTGACATATCCTACAGTGGTGACCAGGCTGGTTGAGCTTTAGCTTCCGGCCTTTTCATAGCAATGCGCCGATACATGCTGCTGCAATCCACAACATCCCGCAACCAAGGCAAGACAGGCACCACAGCCTTCAAATGTCCACATGACACAGCGTCTGCATCTAATTCGGGGAGGGTCCTCCCCCCCCCCGGTCAAGAGACCCTGAAACCACTGATTTTATGGATAATCGGCATGAACCGGCAAGAACCGACGAGATGATCAAATTGTGATCTAGCTACACTCGTGAACTAACCTGTGTGCAGTGACCTCCCAACGATGTAGTGATGTAGCCTTGATGACATGTAAGAGAAATCCAGCGATTCGATGTGCAAAGCAGGACGTACACACCGACCGACCTTTGAGACCTTTGCAGAGCCGGCCTGAAATCCCATCAAGAAGTGCGTGTAGTCCATCCAGAAAGTGCCATCATCAACCTGAGACGACATGAGCAACATCCGTCGGCGTTGTTTTTTCTGCACGGCTGTGCTGCGAAGGCTCAGGCGCCAGTACATCCCAGTTCGCCTTGCGCAACATGCAGAGCCAGTGGCTTGTCTGGACATGTTTGTAGCTTGAAAGTCACTGGACTGGTGGGCAGTCGAGTTGCTTGAGAGACTGCCGGTCCACTCTGCGGATCTGTCACCTTGTCTCAGCGCTCGTTGCAACTGTTCTGCTTGGCATTGGACCTTGGATCTATGAGGAGACGGCTCCATTCCCCGTTCCACTCGCCTCAGCCGAAGAGAAGATCAGACGTCCCTGAGCAGGGATCCTGCAGATGTTAAGTCCTCGGCCCATCCCGTGCGGATTCCGTATGCGAAGGAGGCGAATCAGACCATCCTGTCGCATGCTGTCGCTGGGGCTGCGCAGAGCTCCCAAAGCTCGACTGCTACTGCGGGCATCTACTCTTAGAGTTGTTTGGTTAACAACTTTACTATGCTGATGCAACCTGGACTGCAGGAAGAGTTGGTTCACAGGCTGGCACATGCTTAGAATGCAAAAGCAGCCAGCTCCATCTGCAATTCGGTAGGTACGTGCAGTTCCGGAACTGCCCTGCTTGAGTCCGAACAGAAGCGAAAGCATGTTTGGACCAGCGCGATGCCCAGCCTGTCGACCTGTAGCTTGTCTGTACAGTATGCAGCCCACAAACAGGACGGCAGTGCTGCAACTGCTACAATGCCATTCGGCACCTGTAGTAGTTGCATGCCTCCGCTTGCTTCCATGACCTTCTGAACGGATATTGACCGTCGGTCACGCCAAAAGTCGAAGCGAGTTGGACGTGGACTGGGACATAAAGCTTCGGGACGATCTCCGGGGGAAAGAAACTGAGCTGCAGCGCCTCGCTTCCACACGCAGCTGCAGAAGCAGAGAACAACTGAGAACGACTGTGACTTGTGCTTTTGTTAGAGCCTGCAGCCAAAGAGAAGCCCCGCCGCATGCAATCTCCCAGATCCTCACTGTTCACGATGATGCGGCCTAAATGTCGCAGTCTCGGTGGGTGCTTAGGGGGAGTTCTCCTACTTGCAAAATCGAAACTACGTCCACCACTCGTTTCTAGGACTTCGACACCTTGACACTACGGTTGAGTTCTTTCCATGAATGTCCATGTCATACACAGAGCAGCTGAGGTAAAGGCGAGTGCGATGCGTGCATGACGTTTGTTGGAACTTGGAGCACCTGGAGTGCACCAGACTGACACCGGTGAACCCTGTTTACACTCATGCGGCAGTGCGCTCGAGCCTTTCTTCGTGAATTCGAACTTCAGGTATGTCAGAGCTCCAAAACATGCACAGAGCATCCGTAGGTTCGCCAGGGTGTGCCCATGGTGCGGGAAACTTTTGACCCTGTGACAAAGACTCCCACCACGTTTCTGGCGCGGGCTTGCTTTCGGGAGTCACTGTGTTGTTGTTTCGGGAGAGCCAAATTGGGATGGTCTGTGCATGTCATGAAAAGCCGCGCGGCGTTAAACCCGAAGAGTCAAATATGAATCACGAGCACTACACCGCAAGAGCGATGTTGGGCGTAAGAAGCCCTGAACATCACCAACACGAAGGTCCCTGAGCATGAAAACACTCTATAACCTAAACCCGAAGAACCCTCAGCCCTGAAAGTAACGTTGGGAATAAGAAGACGCAAACTTCATAAGCCTAAACACTACAAGTGACGTTGGGCCAACACGCTGCAAGAGCATGTGTAGACAAACCGACCGAACATTCTTCGCGCTAACATCAACTTTGAACATGTTGCCCTCCAGGCCTTGACAAAGTTCTTTAAAGTGCGGCGGATCTCTTGACATGATGTCTGAATCCGACGATTCTCCCTCTGCAGCATGATGATGTCCAGCGCACTGGCTTGTCCTGCAGCGCACAAAGGAATCGCAGCATGTTTGCAATGTGCCTATACTCCATGAAAAAACACAGTATCCTGATGATGACGACAACAACAACAATGATGATGATGATGACGCTAAAAATGTTCACCCTCCCCTGCCTTTCAGATGCAAGATGCCCTTGCAAAACTCCTCAATAGTGATTACACCATCCCCGTCATCGAGGATCTCGAAAAGGGGATCGCAATCTTTGATGTTGACTTCCAATAAGCTCAAATAGCTGCGCACTTTGGGTAGGCCCAAGGTGGAAAAGAATTCCTCAGGAGTGAGATTGCCATCTCCATCCTTGTCCGCGGCAAAGAACACTTCACGTAGCTTTTCTTTGTACACCCGAGTCCTTCTCGATTTTTCTTTCAGTGCCACCGCTGCATCGTCATCAGCACATGTCAACGTTTCCTTCAAGAACAGCGCAGTTACGATTCGGATGACTGCGAAGATCACCAAAGTTACATATATCAGGAAAGGAATTGCGAATCCCCAGCCCAGCTTTTCGAGCACCGGTCTCACCAGTAGTGGCCATCCGCCAGAATGGGTAATTTCAAACCTTGCGCCACGAAAACAAAGCCTACACCCTATCACGAAGCCGCGCCGAAAAAAAAGCAGACCCAACATGAAAGAGACAAGCTGGCACTTCCAGCATGAGAAACCCGGAAAGCAGAAGAGTGCACAAGAGTACGGAACTACATCCGAGAAACATAGTGTACATCGTGTACCAGAAGTTGCCATAGAGGGCATAGATCTCCAGGCGTGTTGAAAGGTCAAGAGCTGGGTCCATAAGAAAGGGATGTATCGCTTGGCAGATGAGCAGCGAGAAGCCCAGCTTCAAAACCAGCATCAATGTCATTGACCAGAAAAGGCTAAAAATGCTCGCGATGCATGTGCTGAGTAGGACCCTCAATGGGTGGAACAAGTTTACTGTCTTCACGATCCTCAGAGCTCTGAGGATTCGCATGAGCTTCAATATTCGAAAACCCCTGGTGCTCTGGTCTGCTTCATCCGCTTTCGAAGACAGAGCTGGGACCAGAAACAATTCGAAGGCACTGATCAGCACCAGTATGGCATCCACCAAATTCATGTACATCACCCCGTCAATAGGATGGTACATCCACTCGCTGCGCAGCACAAAAACCCGCATTAGGACATCAAGCAAATAGATCGAAAAGAAGACATACTCCAGATCTTCGATCACGGCTTCCGGACCCTCGGTAAACGTGTCGTTCAGCCCTAGGCCGACTCTTGCGAGCTCACCCATGCGCTCTGTCTGCCAGATCATCAGCACAACATTCACGAGCACCACCAGACCCATATACCAGTCTAAAGGCCCCAGAACGAAGGCTTTCAAGCGGGGCAGCGGCTCGTGATCACCCAGAAGAAAATGGTTGTACATGTCAAGGAAGCCCGAAGCCGAGATGTCCTTCTCTGGCGCCTGGAGCCACTCTCCGAGATCCAGGGACTCTCATACACTCGCAGAGGTCTAGCGGTACTAGCACTTGACTTTTAAGTGTGAGCACCTGCCACCACGCTGTCCCAGCCTCTGAATGAAGCTTGCAGCCAGGGGGCATTGCAATTGCCGTTGCCTTCGATGCTCATCTGGGTGCCTCGCTTCCAAGGCTCCAGATCTGGGTGCATCATGACGCAGCCCAGGTCTGCTTTCGAGTCTTGCTCATCTAGGATTCTCTGCTCGGAGCCTGGTTCAGTGCTCGCAGTCGATACATCATGCTGGTGCTACACGCGAGTCTACGAGGAACGATTCACAGAAACGGGCAGAACGGGCCTGACAGCAATCTGACCGTGGTCTTTTCAGAATCCTGGCGCTGCCAACCCAGGGTCGTGTATCAAATGCAGGCGCCCATTGCTGTGCGGCCGAGATTCCAATTGCGAAGTGGGCTGCTCGAATTTGTCAAGCAGCAACTGACGCAGAAACTCCTTGCAGAGAGGTGCAAGAATAATGGAACGATCACAGAATCACAGGACCTTGCCCGGCAGCACTTCAAGCTGTGGAATTGCATCCTAAAAACACACACATATTCCCATGCTGCTGCAAGCTAGTCAGCTAATGGCTCGTATGAAAGTATGAAATTCAACGGGCTTACCATCTGGGATGCCACCTCGTGCTGCTCAAACCGGTCGTCCACCGCTTGCACAAATTGGGCAAGGCTGTCATTGCTGAAGCTTGGCGTTGGCATTGTGGCGCTTCAAGCGGCCATCCACATTCTAGCGGCGCTTGCCGGCTAAACAACGCAGCTCCCCCTGAGCCTAAAGCTTGCATTGCGCGTACTTTGCAGTTGATCACAGAAGACAAAGCAGATGCATTCAGTTGACAATCCCTCGCTTCGACAGAACAGCATGGCGGTTGCCTGCTGTGCCCCTCCATAGCCCACCTCCTGCAGATTATCGGATACGAGAGCAACGTCACTTGGCTGATTTCCTTAAGCAGTTCTGTGCTGTGTTGCGAAGCCCTCGCGAGCGCTCCCTACCCACGAACCGCTGGTCGTAAAGCTCCCTGACATCCAGCACACTGTACGCGTGGTTGCCACATAGACCGACCTGATGGCTGAAACTTTAGACAGTATCAGCATGTGAAATCCCTCAGCTCGCCTCCCGCAGCTCAGGGTTTCCAGCAGTTGCGCAGCCCATGGGAAAGCCTTTGGCCTTCACAGCCCATGTTGCAGAGAGGTCTCTTCTCAGCACACGGTGTAGGGCCTTGAAGTCCATAAGCCTCTCCCACAGCTCCTGCGGATCAAAGCCCGGCCTCGGAGAACACATGCCGACCATGCCACAGCTGCTCTGAGCACCAAGCTTTGAGGTTTTGGCTGCAGGAAGCCATATTATGATATATTCTGTCCAGCAGCTGAGCCTCCGGCTCATCAAAGTCGATGCTCTCAGTCGGGCACCCGGTGAGGTCCAGCAATGCCTTTCTACTCTGCAATACACACCAAGAAAGCAAAGCCCAAGATGCATTGTGGCTGTCCGGTGGTATAAATCTGGACCGCGCTTTTGCATGCCTGTCCTAACCGGACCGGTCAACATCCACAACAGGCCTCGGCAATCTCACCACCACTTATGGCGCGGTATGAGCCATGAGCCTCAACAACATTGCTTCGACCCGCAATCGACTGTAGATATCAGGATCTGGTACTTTGCGCGCAAGGCACGGCAATGAACTTAGTGTCGAAACTTCCCCAAGAAGAGTTGGGGACAGTCCGTTAAGTGAAGCTGCTGACGTACAGAACTCTTCGAAAGCTATCGTGTCGGGCGTTGTCGCTTCGGAGTGTTAGAAAGAGACAAGGATTCACCAGCCGATCAAACCCTTTCAAAGCCGTGAAAGGTGGATCGCCGATTGCCTTGGCGTAAGCCTTTTCAAGCAGAGGAGTCCACAGCTGCTGCCCATCGGCACCTTGGTCCAGGCCGCAATCTCCGTGTTTCATTATGTCGTTGTCGTGGCGCACACACGAGAATGAAAAAGAGAAGACCATGCCACATCGACGGCCAGCCCACGAAGTTTTTTCTTGGCCAGGCCACTCAACTTCTAAGAAAACTGAAGAGTTGCATCTGAATCTGTACGACGGTGATACATGCCCTGGACGAGATGCGTCTTCGGCAAACTTCTGCTGCTGAGCCTAGACATGAATTTATTGCCATCAGGCATGTCAGAATTGCAGTGGATGCGCCGCTTTCGCGCCAATTGACACATGGGATCTTGATCCCATGTGAAACAAACAAAAATCGCTTGCGGCTGGACAGCCTGTAAGGCAAAAAGAAGGCTCCGTACCGCATGCGAAGTACCAGCACCAAGTATGCTTGTCTGACTTACGCATACAGCATCCTCTGCCCTGGAGAAGCAGGAGAGGTAGGCGCAGCGTCGGACTCCTGCCGCAAAATCGACCATCTGTAGCTTTGCTGAACTCCTGAAAAAATGCCTCAGGCATGGCCTCGTATGCGTGAGAGGGCTAACTTTAAGGCAATCTCAGGATTTCAAATCCAGATAAATCCAGTACCTGTGTGTCCCAGCTTCGCCCCTGTCGATGTGATTTTTTTCGCGGGACTACGCAACAACCATGTACGACTAGAAGGCGATACGATGTGTGAATGATCTGTGCAAGATATGTGCAAGTAGGATTCTAAGGATGCCTGTACTGGCCGGTCGTGGAAACCACTGCGGCATCGGGCAGCGCGTCTGCCGCACAAAGCAAGGATGAGGATGATCATGGAAAGCAGCGCCTGTAGCGACTCAATTGTCCCCGGTCCGCACTGTCACCAACACGCTTGCTCCGCTTCATTCCGCTTCGGTCCGAACCAAGATGATAGGGTTCGCTTATTACTTATTACTCGGTCAAGATAGGAAGTGAGGGCGCAGAGGCGCCAAGAGCTACAACGCTACAAAAGGCGAAAGTGGCACACCATTTCACTAAAAAGTTTCACTCTATTTCCGTATGTTTCACTCACAACTTTCTCCGCCATGATCTCAACCTCTCGGACCCCTCTCCTTCTGCGCATGCGAGGCAGGCACCTCGGGCACTGCGAAGCGCTTTGCCTCCTGCAGGAAGCGCTCGAAAATCTGGGGCTCCTCTCAGGGCAGAGCCCAGCAAATGATTCAGTATGACACACGTACAGTGAGTGTACCTAAGTTTACCTGAGTTTACCTCTTCAGCCCACCTCAAACTGTATGCCACAGCTGCACGGGTTCAAATCGGCGTACCAGTCGTGATCTTCCTTGGCAGAGCTTGTGGTGTCTTACATTGCTTTGATTCCTTGAAAAACCTTGTCAAAACTCGACCGCTGTGTTCGCGGTCTTCGCGCCGTTCTCTCTGTTCGCGGGATGCTACGATGTTCATGAGTGCAAAACTCATCTTCTGCATTATCTGCATTGTCAGGCGAGCGACAGTTGAGAGCTGCCAGGGCCACCTGCCATGGAACGTGACATGTTGAATCGACGCAGCATCACATGGGGCTCTCAAAACTGTAATTGCTTGCCAGGGCCACCAGCGGTCTGAGCAGCTGGCCTCCTGCACAAAGAGGCGCAACAAAGCGTGTGGGCCGCAAAAAACGGGGTTGCTGGCACAAGCTTCGCCACGATGCACTCAAGGGCGGAGAAACGGCCAATCCCCACTCACAGTTCAGGAAGGGCCTCCACGCCACATTTCTTGAACTGCCTGCCGGAGCGAGCTTCGTAGTAAATCTCCTTGGCCAGAGTCTGTCAGACCCTTGTGCTTTTTGCGCCAGATGAAAGCTATGGTTGACTAGTTGCCTGCCGGAGTCCCCACTTGCGGACTGGTTCGTTCGACCGTGTGCTTGCTACATATTGCAGCCACACGCTACTCAAGACCAAACAGCCTGCACCCTCATAAATGACCATGCCGATCGCAAAACCACTCCATTGCGACATCGGGTGACGCATGGATGAATTGGCAAAGAAGATCAAAAGCACTTGAAAGCGGGGCGAACGAAAGCTAGGGCGGCCGCTTGTCCACGGCACGAACAGCACAACAGCACCGGTTCCGTCAAACGATCGTCGAGCCATGACAGCGCAACATGTTGACATCAGCTGTTTGGGGGGGGGGGGGGGGAAGGGGGGGCCCACCCGTAACCTTAACTCCCACTAACTCCCTGAAATATCAGGCCAAAGATCCTAAAAAACTGTTCGGTCCAAAACTAAGGTTGCAAACAAGAACCCCGGCAAGCTCCAAAGAGCTAGCTTTCGTGACAATCACAACTACGAATGCAACACAGTACAACTAAATAGGAACGCAGACTGCGACCAGGAATCTGGCAGCGCATGTTGGAAAAGAGATGGACCTTGTACAAAATGCACTGTTTAACCACCCGCTCATACTGCTTGCAGCGACGCGCCTCGCGGTGGCAAGTGCACAACAATGTCCTTGGGCTCTTCATGGCAACATCAACACCTATCATATAATTCATACAAAAAGACAAACATCTAGTGGCTATGTGTAGTTTACTTTCTGATAGATAGACGGATATATACATATACATATGCATATATATGTACATATATATATATATATGCTAACCCCCCTCCAATACACACCAATTTAATGTTTTTTTGCCTCTGTTGGAAGGTCTCGTCCCCGAAACTTACAGTAAATGATTTTTTCGCATCACCCTATGCACTCGAATACTTCCTAGTCTTATGGTTCGACGCTTACCATTTGTCCTTCCTGATCTGTATTTGACGTACAACACAAAAAACCCTAGATACATACGTGATGTGGGTACTTGTTCTACCTTCTCGTTGCAATTCCACCTGCAAACATAGGCATGTACCTTCTAACCCTATAGGTAATGCCTAAGCCTTAAACCCTAAACCTTCAAACCAAAGTAGGGCTAGCCCCGTGAGGGTTTTGTAGAGAAACCCTGAAAAACCCTAAGCCTTTAAACCCTATAGGGTTTCATGGTTTACAAACCTAAGGTCTGGGTGTGTATACCTTCAGCGCCTACAGGGTTAAACCCTTTGAACCTTCTAGAGCCCCATAGGGTTTTAGGGTTCTGATCCGACCTTTAAAGGGTTTTGGGTTAATGTTTACATGCATAAAACCGTAAGCCCTAAGGTTTAATAGCTCTATCGGCTTAGGCTTGAATGCCTGAATCTTAACCCTAAAACCATTAAAGCTTAACCCTATAGGGTTTAGTTTTAATGCCAAAATCTCAAACCCGAGGCCTTAGACCGTAACCCTATAGGGTTTAAAGGTTCCGGGTTTGGGCGTAATTGTTTAACCAGAAAGCGGGGCCTCTCTTTACAATCCGAAACCCGACCCAAAACCGATCGGGCTTGAGAGACTAAGCCCTGAAAAAACCAGGGAGCGCAGCAGAGCGAAGGGGAGGAGAGGGGTGTTCAGGGGTCCTGGCTATGTTGGAAGACCCCTGGTAGCACCCCCCCTCTTCTCCCCCTGATGTTTAAGCAAACTTACTGCTTATAAGTAATATGTTGCGTGACAAAACACTCTTTGCATCCAAGATTGAGTACGGAGATAATGTACCAACTAACCCTATAGGTTTAAAGGCTAAGGATTCAGGTTTAACTGCTTAACCCGACAGGTTTAGGGCCATAAATCAAAAGGTTTAGTTTAGACTCTATGGGCTTAGGTTTAAATGCCGAAGTATTAAACCCTAAACCATTAAAGCTTAACCCTGCAGGGTTAAGGTTGAGGGTTTAGGTGCAATTGCCAACGTATGCTTAAATGCCCAATCTTAAACCCGAGGCCTTAAAGCTCAACCCTATAGTCCTATAGGGTTCAAAGGTTACGGGTTTGGGCTTAATTGCTTAACCCGAAAGGGTTTCGGGGCTTCTCCTTACAACCCTAAACTCTGCCCTTAGCCGATCGGGTTTTAGGGAGCGCGGCGGCGCGAAGACGGGGGAGGGGGTGGGAGGGGTGGTGTTCAAGGCCCTGGTACACCCCCCCGACCCTCTTCCCCCCCCCTGTTTACAAGCAAACTTAATGCTAAAAAGCAATACGATGTGTGACAAAGACTCTTTGCATCCAAGATTGAGTACGCAGATAACGTACCAACTAACCCTAGAGGTTTAATGGTTAGGATTTAGGTTTAACTGCTTGACCCTATAGGGTTTCGGGGCTTCTCCCTCTCCCCCCCTTATAAGCAAACTTAATGCTTGTAAGCAATATGTTGTACCACTAACCCGTTAGACTATAGGCTTAAAAGTGCAGGATTTAGGTTTCCCTATAGGATTTCGGGGCTTCTCCAAAAACTCCTACCCCCCCTAAACGGTACAGATTTAGAGAATATGCCCTGGAAACCCTTAACAAAAGCGGGGAGCGGAGGGGAGGAGAGGGAGGGGAACGCGAAGTAGGGCCGGAAATATTGACCCTGAGATCCGGAAAGCTTTCCGGAAAATTTTCTGGGAAATTTGGATTGAAAGGCGCGAGGTGTGCTACTTTCCGACATGGCATACACTGTGGTAGGAAACCTCTCAAAAACATATCAGAAACATGAAGTGGCAAACCTCGACAAGGGGAGTTTAGAAGATTTGAATTTAAGGTGCTTCAGGGGCGTTTCAACTTTCCCTGCCCTCTCGAATTTGAAGGTAAGGATCAGCATCAAGTTGAGGCTTTAGAGTTTAAGATGAGGAAAATTCATGGTACCTACAGCGGTGGCTATGCTTAGGGTAACTAGTCGGTCCTGGTCCTTCTTACCACCCTAAACGCTAAACCCTAAACCCTAAACCCGACTCCACCAATCCCCTTCCATTCCCTAAAAAGCGAACTCTACCGGAAGCCTTAAACCCTAACCCTAAAATCACCCCACAGCCACAGCACAGGCGGGGGCGTTGAGACCCACAGCCGCACCACGGGGGGAGGGGTGAAACCTTACGCCCCAAAAACCTGAAACCCTGAACCAAGCCCACCCACAACAAGGGGGTGGAGGGGACCTAGACCATGGGGGGGTGGGGGGAGGGGGGCGTGGAGCGCGTGGCCAAAGATGATTAAAGGACCGGATAACCCCACATGTGTATTTTATCTTTTCGCAAAGAGTGTAGAAGTGAATACGAGTGAGTAAGCGTGTGAGTGAGTGAGCGAGTGAGCGAATGAGTGCATAAGTGTGAGTGAGTGCGTAAGTGTGAATGAGTGAGTGAGTGCGAGCTGTGTCCTGCGCCGCTGTTTTGCCAGCGTCCAGGCGTGGGATTCAGCGGCCAGCACAAACGACACCTGCGTCGCGACTGCCAACGCGAAGCGAGCCCCCCACGCGCGCACGCGACAAGTCCAGGGCGCCCAAGTGCTATACTGCGCCTGCCAGCACAAACGACACCTGCGTCGCGCCTGCCAACGCGAAGCGAGCCCCCCACGTGCGCGGGAAAGGTCCGGGGCGCCCAAATGCTGCGCTTGCCAGCACAAACGACACCTGTGTCCCGCCTGCCAACGCGAAGCGGGCCCCCGCGCGCCCCCCGCGCGCGCGTGCGCGCGCGGGGGCCCGGTCCGTGGCCCCCAAGTGCTGCGCCTGCCAGCACAAACGACACCTGCAACGCGAAGCGAGCCCCGCACGCGCGCGCGTGACCGATCCGAGGCCCCAAAAAGCACAAACGACAGCTGTGTCGCACCTGCCAACGCGAAGCGAGCCCCCCCACGCGCGCAGGGGGGCCGGCCCTGGGCCCCCAAGCGCAGTGCCTGCCAGCAACAACGACACACGCGATTGACCGATCCAGGGCCCCCAAACGCTGCGCCTTGGTACGTCTGTGCGTGTGGGTGAATGGTGCGAGTCAGAAAGTGAATGGTGCGTAAGGGAATGGTTCGTGATCTAAGTGAATGGTGCGTCTGGTACGTTTGTGCGTGTGAGTGAATGGTGCGTGAGTCAGCAAGTGAATGGTGCGCGAGCTGCGCCTGCCAGCACAAACGACACCTGTCTCGCGCCTGCCAACGCGAAGCGAGACCCTCACGGCCGCGCGTGACCGGTCCGAGGCCCCCAAGTGCTGCACCTGCCAGCACAAACGACGCCTGTGTAACCCGAAGCGAGCCCCGCACGCGCACGCGCTCGGGCCCGGCCCGGGGCCCCCAAGTGCTGTGTCGCGCCTGCCAACGCGAAGCGAGCCCCCCACGCACGTGCGTGACTGATCCAGGGTTCCCAAACGCTGCGCCTTGGTACGTCTGTACGTGTGAGTGAATGGTGCGTGAGTCAGTGAGTGAATGGAGCGTAATCTAAGTGAATGGTACGTCTGGTACGTCTGTGCGTGTGAGTGAATGGTGCGTGAGTCAGTAAGAGAATGGTTCGTGAGTGAGTTAGTGAATGGTGAGTGAGTAAGTGAGTGAATGGTGCAAGTGAATGGTGCAAGCGAATGCTGCGCAAGGGCATGGTGCGTGAGTGAGTAAGTCAATGGTGCGTGTGCGTGTGAATGGTACGTGAATGAGTAAGTCAAAGAAGTGAGGGAGCCACCGAGCCCCACACGTGCGCTCGGAAAGAGGCGGAGGAGGAGGGCGGAGGAGGAGGGCGGAGGGCGCAGGAGGAGGCGGCGGCGGCGGCGGGACAGCCCCAAAAGTAAGAACCCCACACAAAGATGTGGGGAATTGTGTACGTTTCAGAAACATAACAAAGTATACTTCTAAACTGATTAAATATTTGCAGGTTAGATGCCGTATAATACTTTATACAAAGGAAAGAATGTTTAGGTCCCCAGAGCTTGGCCAGTGTCCTGGTAGTGCGCCACACGCCACACGTCAGCGCTGCCAACGAGTGCCCTGAGGGCTTGTCCAAACAGCGCATTGCCTTCCAGGCAGATGCGATGGCATGCGAAACCAAGGCGCCAAAAAACAGCCCTCAGCCCTTAAAGGATGTAACGAATAGGCTCGAGTCATGGAGCCATGGGAGTAAATGTCTTTAGCCACGGCGCCTGGACGTGGTGACTCGAGAGCATACATGTGCTGCACCGTGTAGTTCTTGACCAAAGCATCGAACATGAAGTATGTCAAAGATGCGGCACCCTGAGAATGACCCACCAAGTACAGAGGTTCTTGTTGGCACTGGAACTCTTCCAGCGCACGGAAGATTCCATCCTTGATGGACAGATACGCCAAGTGAAAGCCTTGCACTACTTGGCAGCCGGGACATATCCCATGCTCGAAGTCCGTGAGCCAGAAGGCAGCATCCAAAAGAGAGCTAATTGGACCGTATGTTCCCCGAACGGCAACGAAACAGCCTCTGGGCTGAAGCATCTTCCCAACACCAGCTGCTGCCTGTGTGTTCGAGCTGGTCACGAATCGCAGCTGCTTCAGATCAACCTTCGGCCCTTTAGTCACGGACTGGCCCACATCCCACTCTGTAAATCTCTTTTCGCCACAGTATACTGCCTTCTCCAAGTAGGCCATAGCCATGCCCACATCCTCATCATAGGCCACGCAGCAGGTGAAACAGGAAAGCAGCCAGAAAGCGCGTGCTCGGCCAGGCATGGCTGCAGGAAGACACGCAGAAACTCCAGTAATGATGACAGTTTATCATGCCCAGTTCTCAGAAACATCAACACGCAACATGAAGCCTCAGGTGACAACGACAAACGAGCACTACAAATTTGACACAGCATCACAGACCTCTATGACTTGAGAGGAATGGCAAGGTTGAATTCAATCTGTCCAAAGATTAGCCGTCAGTCTGCGCTGGTGCGTCTCAGGACTCCTGTCTATGTGATCCCGATCGTGAGCAATGAGTGAAATGCAAATCCTTTTGCCAAGGTAGCAACGGCTGAAAGCCAGTCCGCTTCCATCTGGTCGTCTCTGCTGGTCTGTGCCTAACAAGAATGGTGCACATGGGCATGATCGTGACGTCTAGCAGAGTCTAGCCAGGCTAAAAGATTGCACCATCCAGCGAAGCTCTCGAAAGCAACTGCGGCGAAGGCAGGGCAGGCGGTCATCTATGTTGATGGCCTTGGCTGCTCACTTGAAACAACTCTGCCAGATTCAGTAAGAGAACTGATGCTTGGTACCTGACCCTCCACTCGCCATCCAGGAAAAGATTCACTTGGTAGCACCCCACCGGATTCCTACCACATAAACAACAAATATAACAACAAGCGACCGCAGCTCATCCGGCTAGGCAATTCTAGATTGCTATCTGAATCCTTCTTTGGAATCCTTCTTTGGCCATGTTCAGCAGTCCTGGCGGTCTCACCCCCGAAGAGTCGCAGCACCAGGTCCGGCCGCTCTGCCACCACAGCCAGCGCCTCGCATTTGACAGTCTTAACCATGGATGGTGCCACTTGGTTCGACCATGCTGAGATTGCTGAGAACCGGGCTGACATGAACCAACAGTCACCAACACCGCCCTGCCGCAGATCCTGTCGCACACTTCTCCAAAGTCAGGATTAACCCCTAAATCCGAACAACGTCTGCCAGACCTCCGCACGGAAACCGAAGTCACTGACTATCATGAATTCCGGGAAGCGCTGCCACCAGATCTTCTCGCGACCTCTGTGAGGGATTCTGCCATTTCGGAACGGGTGGAGAATTTTTTCCGATGTGATTTTTTTGTAGGAAAACCTCTATGTTCGGCTATTTTTAAGAGGAACACCTCTATGTTGTTTTTTGAAAGGAAAAGCTCTTTTTCTCCCGACTGTTAAGAGGAAAGCCTCTGTTTCTCTATATGTTTTATGGAAAACATGTATTTGTTTTTGTTCTTAAGAGGAAATCCCCTATTTGTCTCTGTTTTAGGAGGCTTTCTTACGAGGAACGCCTCTAACGTTCTCGACTGCTCTTTTTGTGGAGGGGGCTCATTTCCTTGGATTTTCCAAGGAAAAAATCCGCTGCCTCTGTGTTTGTTAAATTGGATTTGTACTGTTTGCACGGGATTGGCATTCATTCGGTTACAGTCTTGGTCTTCCTCAGGAAAAATGACGATGGCCTCTGCATTTTTTATAGTTGTTTTCCCTAAGAAAAACTCTATCGTAGAAACACACTCTATTACCTCTGTCTTTTCACAAGATTCCTACTCATTTTGGTGGAATTCACAAGAAAGTGGAATAAGAATCCGATTCATTGCTTCTAGCCGAGGTTCATACTGATTTTTGCGTCTGTTTCCTATGTCCCTGGTTTTCCCTAGGGAAACCTTCATTCCGGCCATATGTTAATAGGATTCCTATGATTGTTTAGGGCATGAAGCTCAAAAAAGCAGGGGGGTTGGGAGGGGGGAGGGCAGCGCCCCCCCCCCGCCCCCAGTGACTATTTCTTTGAATTCTTTGTTTCTTTATTGCTTTCTTTATTTGTTTCGTTCGGTCTTTCTTTCCTTCGTTATTTCATTGTTTCCTTCTTTCCTTCTTCTCTGCTTCGGTCGAGTATTCTTTCTTTCTTGTCTTGTTTTGTTCTTTCTTTCTTTCGTTCCTTCCTTCCTTCCTTTCTTTCATTATTTCTTTCTTGCTTTTTCTTTCTTTCGTTCTTTCTTTCTTTCTTTCCGTCCCTCCTTCCTCGACCCTCCTAAGCCCAAGCTCCTTAAGAGAGAGAAATAGAGGTTCCCCTCTTAAGAATAGAGAAATTTTCTTTCTTCTTTGTAAAATACAAAACGAGATAGATAGAGGTTTTCCTCTTAAAAGTAGCCGAAAAAAAGATGTTTTCCTACCCCCCCCCCCAACCCCCAAAAAAAATGAAAAAAAAACACAACACAAAAACTCGCAAGAAATACACCTTCCGGGAACTGGTGCGACTTGTCACAGTAAGCGTCACAGTAAGCTGCAGGCGTCGGTGCTCTGAGTCAGCCCAAGCAAAGAAGCCGCAGCGACGCTTCTTGCGGTGCAAAGTAAAGCACAACGCAAGTCAATGTGCAAGAAAAACAGAGCAAAAAGCAAAGCCAAGGAGAGCAGACCAGACATCCCCTTGCAGGCCACCTCGCAGTGCCAGTATGGTCGTCCCTGCTCAAGATGCTTAGCGTGACAGAACTCTCAAACTCACAAGGTTCATCAAGGTTCATGCGCAGGCCGTACACAGTTTGCATGGCGCAAGCCCAAGAACTGAGTAGGAAGGATTGGCAAGGTGGTGATGCTTGCTTCGCCTTTGTCGGACCCTCTTTGCGAACCTGCAAAGGTAAAGCTAGGATTGGGCGAGGCGTCACCGAAATCGTGCAGCGAGTCTTGTCTGCCTCTGACTTCTTAGAAGCTTGGCCACAGCGGCATCGTGGTTGCTCCTGGGGCGACTGCAGCGACTCCTGCAGTTCGCCAGGTCATTCCAGACTGCGTGCCCAATCGAAGAAACGTTTGAGTCATGAGTTGACAAGGGACAGGGGACCCCGCAACAGCCTCGCGGCCACAGATTGATTTCCTCAAGCGGTGCAAGACACCCAGCTGATTGCCATGGACTGTGAGTCTGTGGGGCAGACGGCTCCGCCGGAAACTCGGGGTCCTCAAACGGAGCCTGGACAGAGAGCACACCCTCACTGCCGTGCAACTTACAAGGAGCTTGGAGTCGCAACCCTCACAAAGCCTCACAAAGCGCGCAGTGCGAAGCTACAAAAGCCCCTTTTCCGCTCTCTCCGCACAGCACTGCATGGCCGGCTCTGAAAATTTGGTTTCAGTGGATGCTACTGGGCTCACAAACTTTCCAAGGACAAGCTCAAGATAGCTCAAGTAACAGCTACAAATACAAATATACTGGATAACACTTGGCCCCTTACCCAGCATCCAGAAAAATGGCAGCGGCTTGTTGGCTGCCTGTGGCACCCCTGGCGACCGCCCTCGTGGCAGCCCTCGCGGCTGCCTACGCTGCAACGGCCAGAACGAAGAGAACGGCGTAATCCTGCTTGTTGCAGCCAGCTTGTGGGGGCATCACATCACCTGGCACATGATGCGCACTTCACATTTTGCAGTCGTGGGAACTGGGGAAAAAGCTATTAGGTTGAAGGCATGTTCGCAGATCTAATCCTGGCTACCTCGACTTATCCTTACCTGCCATGATGCATCCTTCGAGTTCCTTCGGCTTGGTATTTCTCGACTTCTCAATGTCACTCCTTGTCGACTGTTTCGCATGTCGCTGCTTCACTCGATTGTGGGTGAGTATGAGTGCACTATTCGGTCTGCTAATGTCTGCTAGGTGCCCCCTGCTAAGGCCAGCTTTGGGCCAGGCAGCCTCACCCCACCACAGTGCAAACATTCCCTCCTAGCATTGTTCCCCTTGGTTGCGTGCTGAGCCAGATTGCGACGCTGCAAGGCTAAGCACATGTCAGCAGTACCGGGACGAACGGGAAACTGCAGCTCCAAGTCGTTGGTTGGCTGGCATGTACCACCCCCAGGCGTGTAGCGCGCCGACCTGCACGGCAGGTGGGTGACGTCGTAGAGCGTGCCCTTTCCGAGGCTCCACTTCTGCACGCCGCTTGCATCTTTCTCGGACACTGTTAATGTGGTAGTGACTTCCCGGTCGCCAGTCACCATGTACTTGCCCGGAGGCAAAGGGAACCTCAGATCCGTACCGACAAAGCTTTGAGTCCGGATCTTCACAAAAATCACAATAGCAAGTACACCGCTGTCACAGCTAACAAATTGGACCCTGCTAAGCTCTCAGTCCGAGCAGCTCGGGCTTCTCCATGATCAGGCCGTGCTCCTCGAGCCACCAGTCATTCTTGTCGAACTCCCACTTTGCAGGGGCAACGCCTCCCCGAGCCATGAGCTTGTCATAGTTGTAGAGTTTGACACCCCGAGGGCCGGGATCCTTTCTCCACAAACCCCAGTTCTCTGCCCCAGCTCCAGATTTTGCAGACGGGTCCGCGAGCGCCGCGATGTACTGGATGTCCCTCAGTTGCTTCCATTCGACCTTGGATTCCTGTGCCCCAGCAATCGGTGGACTGGCAACGGCCAGACCGGCAGGCAGGGCTGCTAGAAGTGCACGGCGATCGAAAGCCGCATCACGTGGCTCGGTCGCGCAGCCCGCTTTTTCTTTGCCTTGACAAGCGAAGGTTTCCGGGTCAGGGCCTCGGGCTTCGTAGAGGACGAGAACAAGAGCTGCAAAAAGGAAGGGAACTGACCTCGAGCGGCAGGCCCTCATGGTACAATGCGTGACAGTGAAGAGCCAGAGGCTCTTGGAACTGGAGATTTGAGCCAAAGGAAGCCATGCTGCCAAGCTGCCATGCTGCCATGCAGGACAGGCGTCGCATAAGCGGCCCCAATCTCATGTGAGCATAAATGCAAAGTGTTCACTTTCCTGCCTGCGCTGCCGCCAGAAGCCTGTGCCAGTCCTCACGAAAAAAGATCATGGAATGACGGGTAGAGGAGCAATAGTTGCGCGCATAACTGCATAAGTGTGCCCTCGAGGCTGCGCGAAGCCACTCTGCTGGGCTGCTGGCGGCACGTGCACTGCGCAATTCTTTGCTGTTGGTCGCCTTAGACACATCGAGCTACTGCGAGCTGCCCAGTCAAGTTGAGAAGGCAGGCAGAGGCAGGTTAGTAAAACTGGTTCTGGTCTGAGGCTGGTGCATCATCTCCGCGCACCACGATGCAATCGAACGAGCTGGACGCCGAATCACCGCGCTGGCTTGCCCCAGCGGTGACAGCGGCACCATGCACTGCGCCCGAGAAGCATCTGCCCCACCGCCGCGTCGGAACATGGGCCTCTTCCCTGCACCCTCTGGATCTGCTTCCCAGCTCCAGGAGTGGCTGCAGCTGCACTTCGCCATCAGAATCGAGGTCTATTGAGTCAGCTGCCAGCATGGCAGCCACAGCGAGACATCACGTGGGAAGTGGGTCGGCTGCTTCAAAAGCGATTTTAGAATCAAATGAGGCTGTCGTGAGGAGTTTGCTGAGCTTCACGTGACATATTATGCAGCCTCTGATGCGGCTGCCTATTCATTTCAGCGAAAAGGCTTACTGATTCTTGCAAGTACTGAAACTAGCTTGATTGGCTCTCTTGTTGAATACCCCAAGGTACCAGCTTTACCCCAGCTGGTACACAGCTGGAGCCAGAGAAACATGTCCCCCGTCCGCGTAATGGCTTCTTCAGTGGGGCCTGAACTCACCATGCGTTGCCATCCTTCTCTGAAAGTTATCTGACTGTGAGACGGACAAACTCACAATGCTGACAGCATCACCTTTCTGCGATCCATGCTGCGACGGCCCTACACATATTCCGGTTCTAAATGGTGCAGAGATGTGCCCAGCACATCACGGTACTGCAGTCTCAGGTCGCAGGCTGCCCATGCACTTTGGCAGCCACCTGCACAGACCGGATGGCTGAGTTTGCCCCAGTAAGCCAAAACAGCCCTGATGACCTGAGCATCTTGTAGAGGCGGCGCTTGCTTAAGCCACATCAGCTGCGGCAGTCAAGACGGCCTAAAAATGTCTAAAGGGTCTAATGTGTTAAAGTCCGAATCATCAGAGACTCGACAAGCTCAAGGTTGAACATGGCGGAACTCGCGCAGTGTGCAGCTTTGCTTTCTGCACCTCCATGCACCTCCCATACTTCTCACACTGCTTGGCAGAGGGGATTATGGGGGCCAGAAGTCTGCAGCACAACCAGCAGCGACTGCGACTGCGACTGCGACTAAGTCAGCTCTCCATCTCTTCGCTAAACAAAGGACCTGGCTCGCCTCCGAGAATCCTGCCTCTCAGCTGGCGAGCAGCTGCACACCGTGGGTAGTCCCGCCTTGATTTCAGGCGGCTCATCTGCCACTGTAAATGCTTCGCCAGGCCAGGGACGTCCTTGTCATCCATGGCGTTGCGGAAGGCCAGTGTGCTATCATGAGGGATTGGAAGTTGCAAAGGCGGAGCGCGTGGAGTGTGTGGAGCCAGCTTCCTTTCGAGCTTGTCCGGCTGCGTATGGGACATGAGAGCCTCCCACGGATGAGGCACAGAAGCCTCTCGCGACTCACGAACTGACTGCAGGTCAAGTTCTAGCCTGGCCTTGCACTCCTGCAAGGCTCCCAGTTCGGCCATTGCTTGCCGTAGAGCCTCTTGCTGGCTGTCAAATTCCCTTCTGAGCTCAGCATGATCCCTTTTGAGAGCTGCGTGCTCCTTGCCTAGGCTGCTGACAGCCACACGCTTCTCAAAAAGCTCGTCTCGTACATCTGCAGCATGTCCACTCAGGACTTGCAGGTCTGCCTTCAAAGCGCAAAGCTGCTGCTCTCTGCTGTGAGCTGTTGCCGCCGCGTCCTGACACAACTCTTCTGCTTTTGCTCTCGCCAGCGTGCTGTTGAAAGCATCAACGCGGGAAAGCTGTTCACGCTCTTGCGCACGAAAGAGTTGCACCTGTGCGCCACGCTCCTGCTGACCGAGCTCTGCACAAACCTTCTCGAACTCCAGACAGCGGTTCTCATACTTCCTGGTTTCGGCCTTCTGCTCCTGCAGCTCCTCACTCACATCCGCCAATTTGCTTGTCAGTTGATGGATCTTGGCCTCCAAAGATCTGACTTGCTCCTCTGTCCTTTCTCTAAGTCCTTTTTCGTTCCTCCATTCAAGCTTCAGCCGTTCAATCGGAACGAGCTGCTCCCGAAGGTCCTCTTGTGCCTTCAGAGAATCCCGCAACTTCGTCTTCAAGCCGAGGATCTCTTGGCGTAAGACTTCAACGCTCGGAGCACCTTTCTCGCGAGCTGGCGAAGTCATGCCAAAGGACCATCACGCATTGGATGTCCAACCAAAGTCTACTAAACGACGTGTGGCATTCTAACCTTCCTGTGTGCTCATGCGGGAAGCTCCGCTGTACGTTGCTGGTCCAACTACTGTCGAAAATTGCTGACGCTACAGTGCATACAAACGCGTTGCAACATGTAGCCAAATGGCGCCGTAAACCTCAAATCGCAACCTGTTCGAAACCCTTTCGATGCATACCGTTCACGACCGCTGAACTGTGCCAAAACACACCCTTGCCTACTGTAGCCGCTGATCCGTGGAGTGCAGTCACTGCTTTTGCTTTTGCACCAGTTCCAGCTCCATAGCCGAGACAGCTTGGTCCAAGTATGACCTTCTTCTGTGCTGCCTGTGGAACACAAGAATGGCCTCCAGGCCTTCTGCGAAGACGACATCCGTTGCACCATGACCACCCCCGCCGGCGTCTTTGGGCAGTCGGTGGTCTACAACCTCATCCCGCTGGAAGTTGTACGTGCGGATCTTTTCAGAGCGGTCTCCAGTTCCTCTTTGATCCTTGCGCTCTGTCCGCTCGAATTCTGCTCGGGCTGACAGCTGTTTGTCCAAAAGCTTTGTGCGCAGCATGTCGACAGCACGAACGCGGTTCTCGTACTGAGACTGGGAAGAGGTACTCAGCACCGAAAGACCAGTGGGAATGTGGATGGCGCGAACTGCCTGGTGTGCTGCATTGACGCTCTGCCCACCTGGCCCTGAGGACTTCTTGCTGATCTCGATCCGGACATCGCCAGCTGCGAAATCAACATCTTCCTTTTCGGCGACAGGCAAGATGACCACAGCTGTGCTGGAGGTTTGCATGCGACCCTTCCTCTCAGTGCTGGGAACACGCTGAACGCGATGAACACCAGACTCATGGCGAAGCCAGCCGTAAGGGGCCGTCTCCTCAACACACGGTTTCAACATCTTGTGGTTCACACACTACACGCTCTCGTCAACACAACCCATCGCAAGGTACAGGCTCACCTCACCACTTCCACCAGACACTCGAACCTCTGTCACAAGAATTGGAATCACGAGCTAGCAGCTAGCAGTCGCTAGCACTGTGCTTATCCGAGGCGAAATCTGAGGCGAAAACAGACGCGAATAGTATGCCTCCGCCTACGCCCTCGTTCATGGTATCCACCTCTCTCAGTCGCCAAAGACATGAACCATCAGGATGCTGAAACTGCTGAAAACTGCTGAACAACGGGCATCAACGGCCCGAAGAAGCTTGACCGTCACAGCCTCGAATTGCCAGCCACGGGCATCTGCAAAACGCTCGTACCTTCGCCAGGGCTTACTTGCAGTCTGCGGCAAAGTTTGGGAAAGAAGCCTGTACTCAGAGGCTCACATTTCGAACAACTCCCTGGTGAAGATAGCAGCCTCCTCACACATGCATTCGGCCACGAACTTCCCCCAGTCAAGCTGCATCTGTTCTTCTTGGCTTCTCAGGGACTGTGGAAGAGTCGACCATCTCCCTACGTCTCCGATTGTGGTGCAGAGCATGGGCTCCGTGGCTTCGCTTGTCATTTTCAGTATGAAGCTTCACCTTATCTGCCTGCAACGCGGCTAGAGGGTTGAGCAGGTCGGCTGATGGGCCGGTAGTAGTAAAGCTACAATGAAGTGCACCAGTGTACCACAGCCATTTACGGCGGCAGAGAACTTGCTCAACCATCTCAATCTCTTTCAAAGAGAGCCCGTCACAGATTTCAGGTCAGAGTGAGCAGAAATAACCTACGGTTCTGCAATGCGCTGCCAGTTTGAAACTGGCCGCCGCTTTGCGCGAACGCATGCGAACGCTATTCTGCGGTCTTGCAAACGTGATCCAAGACCCGAGGCCTGGTCAGCAGCTGCAGCTGCAGATGAGAACACTTGCGTTGTGCTTCTTTAGGCTTCTTTTTTTCAGTGGTGAAACGGACTTGGATTCAAACAAAGCCTGGCAAGCGGATGCAGCAAGCCCAACAGTGCATTGTCCCTTAGGCACGCTGCAGCATCAGCACTAGTTCACTCGGTTCGTCAAGAAAAGCGCCTCACAATTTGTACGAGCACCTCGGTGGAGGCCCGCTATGGCCCAATGCACCAACAAGAGAAACGCGGTGCAACACGGCAATGAAGTGTCCGGGTAGGCAGCGATTGGACTTGAGATGAGTTGAGGCGCACTTTCAGGGTGACGGTGTCATTTTCCGAGATGTGCTTGAGCATGTCCGTTGGGCTCATGGACTTGCCTGAGCTTCCAAGGAAGGCTTGATTGTTTGTGGGCAGCTACAAAGATCTGCCGGTGATGGCTGCGTTCTGTAGGGCTTTCAGCAAAGGGGCCATCAACCTCGACAATTCGGTCCTTCGGCTGGAAGGTGCCCTTCGGCATGTCGGCTGCCACACCTCCAGTTACCTCCTGAAGGGCAATGCCAGGACATGTGCCAACATCGCGGAGTACATCGCATTACATCATATTACTTCATTCATCTTCACTCCCACCCGCGGTGTCCTTGACAATAAGGCCGAGACATGTATCGTCGGAGTGCAATCGGAGGCCAACCTACATGCAAGTCTATCATACAAGCATGCGGAGAAAAGAATAGCTCCATGGCATGCAACACTGCAACACGGCATCTGCACTTTGGATATACCGAGGCCTTCTTGCCAGCCTTGTTCAAAACCACATCCTGACCACATGCAACTGGCAGTATCTGGCATGAGGGTTCTAGGAGGTGAGCATGGCAGTTGTTGGCTTCTGATCCTTTTTGCTCTCTTCGTCAGAATGCTCAAAAGCCTGCAGTGTAGTCTTTCCCTCTCTCGCAGGCATAGCAGGCAAACCCCCTGCATCCAGTGGCAACAACCCGACTAAACAAACATCCCCAGTAAAACTAGCAGCCTGCAGCTCCACCATTTTACATCTTGCCCCCCTTCCTCGCCCGCATTCGAAGCTGTTAGCAAAGCCACATCACGACACCCTGAGTGCCCATTGCTAGCACCCATGCCCGCGTTGCACCAGTTTCTCAGCAGTGTCTTGTGTCAGGGGAAACCCGATCGAATTCGACAGATGTCGGTACAAGGGACCTCCGGGAAACAAAGGGCCGAGTGTAGGAAGCCATGCAAACTCGGGCCCAAGAGGGCAAGGGGGGGACCGCTCTGTCAGGCGCCCAGTTTTGTCAAGGAAAAAGAGCAAAGAGAGGAAAGAGAGGAAGGAGAGGAAGGAGAGGAAGGAGAGGAAGGAGAGGAAGGAGAGGAAGGAGAGGAAGGAGAGGAAGGAGATCGAGGGATTCGGGCAGCAAGACCCCCAGAGGAGGACCATGCCCCCCGAGCCTTGGGCCATGGACTCGCGATGCGCCCCCCCGGCCAGGAGGCCGTGTCAAGGAGGAGAAGATAGGCCCGAGCGAGATATATAGCCTCGATGACTGTTGGGCAGAACTGGCGGAGCAAAGACGTAGACAGCACAACGGTCCGGACACCGCTGCGGAGACGAGGGAGCAAGAACATGAAAGTCAAGACGGCCCGACGGCCAAATTGGATACAGATGCTTCCCCGACAGTCAGACAGTCAGGCAGTACATGTCTCTCCCCATGAGCCAGAGAGTGATCGTGGAAGGTTACCTTTCTGATTTCGCCGGCCGTCGCAACAGCCACCGAAGGGTCTCCGCAACTCCGGTTTCCCAGGCGCACGTTCGGTGTACAGCTCGACCAGCGCAGAGGCAAAGGCGGCACTCGCGCTTCTTCCGTTTCTTCCGTTTCTTCCCAGTATCTTTGCTTTTTCTTTTGGTCTGTGCTTCATTGTTTCTTTGTTTCAGGGGCTTATAGGGCCCTGCGCAAGGCGGGCCCCGCTGCACACCCCTCTTTGTGGTAATCAGAGAGCTTTAGACACAACGGAGCGTGTAAAGCGTGCTCCCCGAATCTGCCCGCACCGAGGCCCTACAAGCGGTCAGTCCGCAACCGAATTGAAAACTCTGACACGCTCTCTTTCTTTCTTTCTTTCGGAGGGCGTGGAGGCCGGAGCCCCCGGGCGTCATCGCCCGCCCCTGTTTCTGGAGCGGTGCTGAGGTTCGATGGGAGACAGTGGTGAGAGGTTGCATGCTAAGTACCCCCCTCCACCCTTCCCTTATCTGAGTATATTTTCCCCCCCCCCCAGGTGTCCTTCCCTCCTCACACCACGTCTGCCTGTGAGACGTTGCAGTGTTGACCCTTTCAGGCTGGACCACCTTGCCCCAACCAACAGCATTACAGTAACACGCTCCCTCTCTCTCTCCCCCTTTCTTCTTCTCCTACTCCGGCGCACATTCTGCTTCTCTCACTCTGCGACATTCTCATCCATGCGAGTTAGGCCGGCCTGAGCGCCGGGACGCTCCACGGTAAGCTCCAGCTCCGAGTCAGATACTACTAGACGCGCAAGCTCGGAGGACTGCTGCGATTTGCCATTGACTTTGACAAGCCGGTCGTAAAGCCGAACGCCCCTTAGCTGAATCAGCTGAATCCAATTGCACGATTTTGAACTGCACAGGCACGGGCTTTGGGTCGGAGCTTTGCCAAGGCTCGTTTTGTCAAGCACGCCACCAGAGTCCACAGACTTGAAAACCTGAGAGCCCCGCATTGGCAGGGCTGGAATGCTTGAGAGTCTTTTGACAATCCAGAGGGCTCTTGGGATAGAGATGCCAGGAAACACAGCAATCCTCCTGCGAAGTGTCCAGCTTTCCACCCAGTTTCCCGTTCTCCTGCGCATTTCGCATGAACGCACTGAACCAGCAGAACAGCTGCAGAGAAGGGCTGAAGCCGATCCTTTCTCACCTTTACAATATATTCTCGCTGGCTTGCAGCAGGGGTGGAAGCCGTCCTGAGATACGCGCTGCAGAAAAGGCAGAACGCTGGTTCAGAGCCCATCTACTACATGAGCCTTTGTGAGCCCGAGTTTCTGTGCCGGCGGCTTTTCCGGAACCGGCGCCACCACCCTGATTTGAGGAGCCTCCTCTGTCACTGCCATACCCGCCAGATTGTTGCTCTCAACTGCCTCCGTCTTCTCTTGCTCCTGCAAGGAGCTCAACGCTGCAAAGATAACATAATCCCTCCAACCCTGAATGCCCTTGCTAATTCGACACTCTAATGACACTCTACTCACATTCTTGCCTACTTTGCAACCCATCCGCACGCACGCACGCACACACACACACACACACACACAGACACACACACACACACAAACACACACACACACACACACACACACACACACACACACACACACACACACACACACACACACACACACACACACACACACACACACACACAACACGCACGCACACGCACACGCGCACGCACACGCACACGCACACGCACTTGCGCACGCGCACGCGCGCACGCGCACGCGCACGCGCACGCGCACCACGCGCGCACACGCACGCGCCGCGCACGCGCACGCGCACACGCACGCGCACGCGCACACGCACACGCACAGAGAGAGAGAGAGAGAGACACACACACACACAGAGCTCGTTTGCCATCACCTGATTTCATTGCACCTCCATTTGGGTTGTGCATATTCTTCTTAACAGGCTCCTTAAAGAAAAACTGACAACAACTTCAGCGAGCTGCAAATCAACTTGAGAGATGACCAGAGATGCTTAAGATTTTGATATTAAAGCTTTGGGAGGCACTCAAAGGAACTAATCTTTCAATGCAGTGCAAGACACCAGAAGCCACGTGGGTATCAGAATGGGCTGATGTATATCCCCCCCCCCCCTGATTATTTGGCCGTCCGCCTCTTGCGGTTCCCCGGATCTTTTTACAGGTTTACATAAACGTATATATTTCAAACCCTATACCACCGTTATAACCACAGCAATAAGTCGATGATGATGTAGGCACCCCAACCCTATAGGGTTAAGGTTCACAGGCTTGGGGTTTAAGATTGAGGCATTTAAACGTAAGCCCTCAATGAAACCTAAACCCCAACCGTTCAAACCGATAGAGTTAAGGTTAAGGGGTTCGGGTTTTTGATTTAGGCATTTTAAACTTTAAACCTAAACCCACAGAGCATCAAAAACGAAAACTCAGGGAGTTTTAACCTCAGGGGTTGAAGGTTCGGACAGTTAAGCCTTAACCCTGAACCATTTAGGGTCAGAACCCTAGAACACGATAGGGCTCTTTAAGGTTCAAAGGTTTAACCCTAAAGGGTGCTGAAGGTATACATGCCCAGACCTTAGGCTTTCTTGAACCATTGAACCCTTTAGGGTTTAAAGGTTTAGGGTTTAAGGTTTGGGCATTACCTGTATGATAGAACCTTAAAACCCCATAGGGCTTGGGGCTTAAATCCCTAAACCTTAAATCCCATAGGGTTATGCCTATGTTTGTAAGGCTTTCGTCCCGGTGACGCGAGAATACTGTGAGCAAATGTCCTTTTCACGACTACCTGGGATTCAAAATATAAACAAATCACATTGTTATATGATGGAAATCATGTTTTGCTTATCGAGGGATGGTTGCGTGAGATATCTTAGCTAAGGTAAAGATTTTGGGATGGATGTTTTGTTTTGCTTATTGGGGCATGATGGGGTTACCCTCATTCTCTTATAGGTTTATTACATGTATATAAGTCAAACCCTGAACCATAGTTCTAGCCGCAGCAAAAAATGTTATAACCTTGTCATATACATATATACGCAGAGCTCGTCGAATCCGATCATGATGTAGGCGCCCCAACCCTATAGGATTAAGGTTGACAGGTTTAGGGTTTAAGATTGAGGCATTTAAACCTAAGCCGGCAATTCAACCTAAACCCTAACCTTTAACCCCTATTGAGCTAAGGTTTAAGGGGTTAGGGTTTAGGATTTAGGCATTTAAAACGAAAACTCATAGAGTTTTAACATTAAGGGTTTAAAGTTTAAAGTTCGGGCATTTACACCTTAACCAGGGTCAGAACCCTAAAACACGATAGGGCTCTTTAAGGTTCAAAGGTTTAACCCTAAAGGGTGCTGAAGGTATACATGCCCCGACCTTAGGCTTTCTTGAACCATTGAACCCTTTAGGGTTTAAAGGTTTAGGGTTTAAGGTTTGGGCATTACCTGTATGATAGAACCTTAAAACCCCATAGGGGCTGGGGCTTAAATCCCTAAACCTTAAATCCCATAGGGTTATGCCTATGTTTGTAAGGCTTTCGTCCCGGTGACGCGAGAATACTGTGAGCAAATGTCCTTTTCACGACTACCTGGGATTCAAAATATAAACAAATCACATTGTTATATGATGGAAATCATGTTTTGCTTATCGAGGGATGGTTGCGTGAGATATCTTAGCTAAGGTAAAGATTTTGGGATGGATGTTTTGTTTTGCTTATTGGGGCATGATGGGGTTACCCTCATTCTCTTATAGGTTTATTACATGTATATAAGTCAAACCCTGAACCATAGTTCTAGCCGCAGCAAAAAATGTTATAACCTTGTCATATACATATATACGCAGAGCTCGTCGAATCCGATCATGATGTAGGCGCCCCAACCCTATAGGATTAAGGTTGACAGGTTTAGGGTTTAAGATTGAGGCATTTAAACCTAAGCCGGCAATTCAACCTAAACCCTAACCTTTAACCCCTATTGAGCTAAGGTTTAAGGGGTTAGGGTTTAGGATTTAGGCATTTAAAACGAAAACTCATAGAGTTTTAACATTAAGGGTTTAAAGTTTAAAGTTCGGGCATTTACACCTTAACCAGGGTCAGAACCCTAAAACACGATAGGGCTCTTTAAGGTTCAAAGGTTTAACCCTAAAGGGTGCTGAAGGTATACATGCCCCGACCTTAGGCTTTCTTGAACCATTGAACCCTATAGGGTTTAAAGGCTTAGGGTTTAAGGTTTGGGCATTACCTATATGATAGAACCTTAAAACCCCATAGGGGCTGGGGCTTAAATCCCTAAACCATAAATCCCATAGGGTTATGCCTATGTTTGTAAGGCTTTCGTCCCGGTGACGCGCGAAAACTGTGAGCAAATGTCCTTTTCACGACTACCTGGGATTCAAAATATAAACAAATCACATTGTTATATGATGGAAATCATGTTTTGCTTATCGAGGGATGGTTGCGTGAGATATCTTAGCTAAGGTAAAGATTTTAGGATGGATGTTTTGTTTTGCTTATTGGGGCATGATGGGGTTACCCTCATTCTCTTATAGGTTTATTACATGTATATAAGTCAAACCCTGAACCATAGTTCTAGCCGCAGCAAAAAATGTTATAACCTTGTCATATACATATATACGCAAAGCTCGTCACATTCACTACTTCTCGGGATTCAGAATAGACAAACTATTTCGATAAATGATGGAATTCAAGTTTTGCTTATCGGGGGATGGTTGCTTGAGATATCTCAGCTAAGGTAAAGTCTTTAGGATAGATGTTTTTGTTTTGCTTATTGGGGCGTGATGCGGTTCCCCATATTCTTATGGGTTTACATAAGCGTATAAAAATCAAACCCTAACCCATACTTATAACCGTAAGCCCACCCCATATTGACTATTGAAACAGACAGCTCAAAATTCAATATCAGGCAGAATCCAAGATCCAAGATCCAAGATGCCCACGTGAGAAATTCCGAAGCAATCTTGGATCCCACCCGGGCCCTGGATCCAAGATTGCTCCGCAAATTCTCCCGTGGGCATCTTGGATCTTGGATCTTGGATCCCACCCGATATTGAATATTGAAAAAAAGTTCAATGTTCAATCTTGGGTGGGATCCAAGATCCAAGATCCAAGATGCCCACGCTAGAAATTCTGAAGCAATCTTGGATCCCACCCGGGCCCTGGATCCAAGATTGCTCCGGAAATTCTCCGTGGGTATCTTGGATCTTGGATCGTGGATCCCACCCAATATTGAATATTGAAAAACAATTCAATATTCAATATTGGGTGGGATCCAAGATCCAAGATCCAAGATGCCCACGCTAGAAATTCTGAAGCAATCTTCGATCGCACCCGGGCCCTGGATCCAAGATTGCTCCGCAACTTCTCCCGTGGGCATCTTGGATCTTGGATCCCACCCAATATTGAATATTGAAAAAATTCGATATTCAATATTGGGTGCCATAAGGCTCAGTCCCTTAGACCTTAACACGGTTATCTTCAAGAATGCAAGTCCCGTGAACCTTAACAGGGTTAAAACTTCCAGAGAAAAAACCTTAACAGAGTTAAATCCTCAAGAATGCCTAAAAAAGCAGGGGGGGATGTACACGTACCCATCAGAATCTTCTTACAATATCTTCGGGCAAAAAACTGTTAAACGAGAGCAGAAAGAAACACGTTTTCAACGGATCACAACGTGCTCGCCACTCGCCAAACCTCACAGGCGCAACTCACGAAGTCACGAGATTGCTCACAACGAAATAACAAACAACGAGCGCTAATTCACTGGTTCGTGCTTTGGTGGTGGCTCAGGATTTGATGCGAGGGTCGCAGCACGGCCGTCAGAAGCTTTTCCATGCCAAGGGGCGATCCATTGCCTTCAGCGAAACTAAAGCTGTACTCGTTATGTGTCCACGGACCCCCCTTAAGTTTATGAACGTATTGAACCTGTTATCATGACCCTGCGTCCTCTTCGAAAGGGCAGCTCCCAACAGTCTCGCGTGACAAAGACAATTACGAGCCGCTGTTCAAGCGGACAATCTTCTCAAGTTAGACCCCCAAACGGTTGCATGGGCTTCCCGAAGACGGGCAGGATTCGGGTAAAACTTTACGGGCTACCGACTACACGGGTGTGGCTGATACCAATTGTCGAGATGGACCGTTTAGGACTGGTTTAGCATTGACTTTAGACCGGCCCATTGCAGATGGGGACTCAAACCGACATAAAGCATTGAAACACATCTTTGAAACTCAGCTCAGGAGAAGAACTTCGACCGCTCTCCCCGACGACACAAGCTGGAATAGCACTGTTGTTTTGTTTCCCAAGTTTCTGCTGTTCGGGTGCAAGAGCATCAGGCCTCTCACAGCAAACTCTTGCAAAACAGTTCTCTCATCCTCACGTACTGGAAGTTGTTTCCAATCAGATCCCCTTATCAGAGTATTCGGTATGTGGCAACTTACTGTTTGATTGAATTTGTCTGTTTGTCCGGCGGGATTTGCGTCAGATCCCGTGCCACCGCCGACTGAAGAAGTCTTCGCACTGCTCAAATGGAAACCGGGTTATCGAAATTACTGAAGTCCACGCCGCCGACCTACCAACAAATCCAGAGACCTCCAGAGCCGCTTGTGTCACATTGACAGTTTTGCGCCTTCACGACGCCTGGAGCGAAGGCCGCTTTGAGTTCCATTGTCTCCTCCTCCTCTTCACAGACAAACCGCAAAAAGCCGAGAAGAGCGAAGAGCTCTCAAAGCGTCAAAGCAGTCAGTCCCTGGTGTCTGGAGCCGCTACAGCTGTAACGACCTGCGGAGAGTTCAGGAGCATTCAAAGAATACGGTTGCAATCTGCTTGAAATGTGCCTCCTCCGGAGGAGCCTCGTTCACGCAACATGTGCACCTCAGGAATCAAACACTTTCGTCGGCCCTTTACGGCAGTCGAGTGCAGCCGCAGCACCACATTTCGAACGTCAAGGGTTTCTGAGCACCACTGGAGGCTTCTGATATCAAAGCGGCTGCGGACGTAACTTTCAAGACATGTGCACAGGTTTGGCGTCATGGCAACCGAACACAACTGGAAACGTGGCCGCCACGGCCTCAGCACATTCCGCATGCAATTCGAACAGCTGGACTCCTGGCCACCCACCCCTGGTGTCAGCTCCAGCAGCGCGTCGCGACCTCAGCGGAAGACTGTAGTCAGGCAGACCCGCTTCTAAACTTGAAGAACTGAGCCATTAAAAGCAAGCGCATTCTGAAATGGTGCTCGGAACTTCTTCTTGCACTATCGGCAGCACAAAGAAACGCAGGGCTCGAAGATTTTCCGTCGCGGTTCTGCGTGAGGCTCCAACTTGGAAATCTCTTCGACGGCTCTTCGTTTTTCGTCTTCCGGAGGTCTTTGGAAAATCGCGGCGCAAAGTTTGAGAATGTTTGAGATCTACGCTAGGATTCGATGCCGCCAGGGGGGCAGCTCTGCAAAGATGCACTGCGGCCATTGCCACGCAGCCACGTTGCGAACATTGCAACTTGCGAGCCCAAGTACCTTGTGTTCGATGTTTCCGCATGAATTATAAGCGGCCGATTGCTGCTACTAGCGGGGATCGCTGAATGCTGGGCGATTCTACTCCTAGAGGCACATACCGTTGCGCCCGTGGAAGCACGCTAAAAAACCACCTGCCGCGAAACTTGATTCGCAACACGAACATGGTTCGTGCCTTTGGAATGACATTACCGTTACCTGGCGCAAAACGTGCGCTGAGACATCACCGGAACTTGAGCACAGATGGTTGGCTCCCTGGCGCTGATGTTTGAAGCTGACCTTTCTTCCACGAAACATGCTTGAATCGATTGCTTCGAGTTTCCGCTGTCGGGCTTCCAGCGTTGGGCTCTTCATGCAGCGATTGCCGATCTGTGGTCCCTGCCATCTGCTGCAGCTGAATCATGATGGTCCAGCCGCCCATCTGCAGCTGAACGATGGAAGAAGAGCAACTCCTGAAAAATTGCTTGCCAGCAAAGTAATAACGCGAAGGTAGCCCCCTCATCCGAAACCCCGACCCTCAAACCCTAAGCCCTAGACCCTCACAAGCTCGTTCTCTGAGAGTCAGGGGGGCCCTCCAAGTTTGATAAGTGAAGCTCCCGGCGCTTATGATCAAAGCCAGTCCGTGCTTTCGCTTCGGGTTTTCGTGTCATGCCATCTGTTTTTGGTTCGGGCTTCACTGACAAAAATGCCTTGAGCATCATAACCCTTGGACTGAAGGCTCTGAGGGGAGGGCAGGCAACAAGATTAAAAAAGAATCAAGGGCCAAAACCAACCCATCCAACCCAACCCCAAATCCTGAACCCTCAAGACTCTAGATACCAAAGCGAGGGGACGGGCACAGATGACAGCGCAACCCAATGCGCTGGCCCTCAAGTAGCAGGATCCATAGCAAAAGCTTTCCGAAGATGTCCCTTCGAACGCACATGTCCTGCTCCAATACCGTACCCTGAGCATCAAGAAGGTCATCGGCCGCCTGACACTGAGAACAGATCATGTGCAAATCCGCTTGGCACCTGGTGCCATGACACTGGCTGCGGGTTTGCCAGTTTCGTGCAGATTTTTGCAACATGGACAGCCTGCAGCTCGGAGTCATACAGTGCAGCCAGCCTAGGCAGGCCATTGACAGGACGCTCTCCTGACTCTCAACTCACGGGCTCTTTAAGAGTATGTGAAAAAGCATGTCCAAAATCATATGCATCACTGAGACGCTTCAATCCCTCACACTCTACACTGCACGATGGTGACATGTTGGGGACTCCGGCTCCTCATCACCCAGTGCATCCTCTTTCAGAATGTTCGAAAAGGGACGAATGACAAGGAGGCCAGGCATGGAGCAGCTGCAAGAACACTTCACTTACTGCCTTGCACATACGGGCAGAAGCCGCAAAAACAAGCAAGGTCCTGACTGGACAAGTCTGTCTGACGCTGCTTCTCCAGCTCATGCTTCGCGTCCTGACATGCTCAATTAACGTGCATTGCCTCAGGCAGAAACCGCAGAAACCGGCGTCTGCGGGGTGTTCTGAAGCCTTCGCTCGGCGGAATGCTCGGGCAGATTCCAGCGCAGACGCCACTTTGGCTGATGGAAAAACGTCATCAGGCACCTGCACATCGTATGAATGTCTTTACTCACATCTGGCACCAGTCTCTTAAGTTGCATTAGCATAATGTATCTCAAGCCAGGTACTGGCAGACGAAAGCCTAAACTGCCGAGCTGCGCAAGTTCAGGCGACAGCTATATAGCTAAAGGTAACGGTAGTAAACATCGTAATCGCAATAAGGACTGTGAAGACGGAAATAGCAGTACTGGTAGTCAAGAAGCGCGATAATCGTACGCAGCATAGGGGCTGCGAATGGGATTTGCAAGCAAGATGATCGGACGCCGGTCTTGGAGCCAGGCATGCCTTAATACAAGCAGGGGGCCTGAAGAGACAAGCATGTACGACTCAAAACAACAAACGAGGGAAGGGGGCAGCCTCTCCCGCATTTGCGAACAACTGGATCCAGTCACCCTCTTGAGGCAAGCATGCACAGCTACATTAATACAAACGAGATGATTAAGAATGAGATTTGCAGGCAACAATCACCGAACAATGCATTTCAAGGATGTGCAACTTAACACAACAAAACAAGGGGATTGGAGGAGCGGAGGGCTCTTACGGTGTTGGTCATGCGCTGAAAACAAGGCACCTAGTGATCGCATGATGCTCTTGGAGGTTGGCACGCACAGCGCCGGAGCGTCGCAATGTTGATCAGAGTCTCTTGCACCGCCCACCCATCCAATGCTGTCTCAGAAACATCTACTGGAGCTGATGCCTTCCACACACTATCAAATAAGATCAACTGATGTCAACCAGTATCAACCAGTATCAGACAAATTATCAGCTCGCAGCAGCTCGCAGCAGCTCGCAGCAGCTAGCAGCAACCAATATCAGCTAATGGCAGCTACTTGTAGCATCAACCAATATCAGCTAATGGAAGCTCGTCTGAGCAATGTCAACTAGCATCAACCCACCCACTTCCAGCACAGCATGACGCGTGGATAGTGCCATGAAGGGCCTTCTGGGTCAATTCCAGCAGACGAGCTTGCCAAGGCGCCTTGGCAAAGAGTGGCAACGCCTGAAGCTGACAAACTTCACAAACTTCAAGCCCAACGGCTCAATCCTAACGTGAAAGGTTATGTTCGAACACGACATGTACCAAGCTGTACCGTAAAATCGTTCAAACAAGTTCATCATCGTTGATCTAACCTCTTTCTGCTCGTACTTGGACTTGCCATGTGCTAAACGTCAGCGAGGAGGGGAGGGCAAGGGAGGCCAACGCATCGAGTAGACACAAACTGATCGAATCGCCTCCACCTGAGAAGGCACCACAGAATCCCACCTTACAGTTGGACGTTTCATTGTCAAGCCAGCAGAAATCGCGTGGCTCGGCGTCTGTTTCATTCCAAACCATCTGCGACTTCCCTGTCCTCTCAACACTCTCTAGTTCAGGCCCTCACGGCAACTCTAAACCCCCGTGAAACCCTTTGGACATCGAACATCCGACAACGAGATGCAAAACAGTCCGCGACACCGCTCTGACTTACACGTTCTGGCCAAAAGCAGGGTCCACAAATGTTCGCAATGCTTTCGTGTGAACGTGACTTGCTTCCACTGCGTGCGGCTGCGTGCAGCCAAGGCACGCTGCTGGCCCAGCGGCTTCGATGCCAGAAGGTCAAGAGGACCTGCCTTCAGAACACGCAATCCGAGAATTTCTGCCAATGCTAAGGCTGCTCGCAATTCCAGGACATTCACAACAGCCAACATCGACCCTTGCGTGTATGGCTTGTTGCGCATATCAACAGGATTGCGAGGGTGCAGCCGGTGCAGCGGCCTGTTTCGGCATCCCCAGATGGCCCTCATGGCAGCAGCCTCGCCAACACTTCGACCCAAACTTGCAGACTGCGGGACGGCGGCCGACATATCCGACTTGCAAGCTTGCACTACGAGAGCCTTTCGAGATGTAACTCGCGGGGCAAACTAGATGTGTAACGACGTGGCCTGTATTTAAGGGAGGTTCTCGAGATGCAAATTCGACGAGGTGCCTATGTTCCTATTGAAGCTGAACCCGCACAGAGAAAACCGACCGACCACCGAACCGCAACTTCCATTTGCTTACAATCTAGTTTACCATTTGCTGTACGACATACTACCGTACGACTTTACGACTTGCGATGTTGCTTCCATCTCTGAATTCCGATTCCTGCATTCCGAAGTTCTGGATGTGAAAAGGGACTCCTCGGTTCCTCTTCGATTTGGAGAAAGATGCTTCGATTCCTCCTGAGCTCCTGTTAGTTTAAGATCCAGACTCCTTCCTGTTAGCTTAAACAAGAACTCCCAGAAACTTGTCCAACCCACAGACTTTGCATCTCGAAAGCCGAGCTCTGCACGTTAAAAACCCAATTTGCCTGTCGAACAAGGGTCTCCCGCGCTCATGCGTGTCGCCGTGATCCTTTGTTCTCCGCGCAATTGGATGCTTGTTGCACTGGTAGCGCATGATGGTTTTTCCACTGGTGGCTATGTACAAGGAAGGCGCTGGTGAAACTAGAATACTAGAAACGGTTCTTCCGGTACCACTTTCATCAGAGATGAGCCAGCCGATAGTCAGCCAGCTGCGCCAGGTGCCCCACAGTAGTGGCCTTCAGGCCGCGCTGGGCCAGCTGCATCAAAAGGCTCTGCAAACCGTGGAAGCACCATTCCCGGAAGCCTTTCTCCGGCATGTGGATTAAGATAATTGAACCATGCTCAGCCTGCCGCCCAAGGAAGGTGCCAATGAACTCGCCGTCCTGAATCACCGGGCAGCAGGCGAAAGTGTCGCACATCACATTTTGCAGACCTCTTTCCACAAGTGCCGCAGTCATCTCCGAACTTATTCGTCCGTGAGGTGCCCGAAACCACCGAACCTCCTCTGCAACACCTGCCTGCCGCTGCAGGCACTTTATCCTGTCGGAGCACTCATCAAGTGCAAGCACGAATTCGGCACGGGAATCTTTGGCATAGCTCCGATCAACCAAGCCGTGATTGCCAAACTCATGGCCATCGCTGAGCATGGAGATCAAGGCGTCTTCATTTCCAGGAATAAAGTTGCCCATAAGCATGAGGGTTGCGTGAGCATCATGCTGCTTGAGCAAGGTTTGAACAAGTGGCAAGAAGGAGTTTGTGGGTCCAAGCCGACAGGGCACATCGTCAATGGTAAGAGCCACATAGCCTTTCACGTTGGGGTGAAGATTCACATCGAAGTAACAAAGTGAGTCGGCACCAGCTCCGAACCAGCTGATGGACTCTCGTGAAGCGACTTTGTTCCAGAGAACTTGCAAAGCTTGCGGAATGCCAGGCAGCCACTCCGGTGGTATAAAGGGTGCATCTCCCTGGTTCATGGCCTGGAGTGGACAAGAAGCGATGTCCCTCCCATCACGCAACCTGGCTGCAATGATCAGTCGGGCCACACCAACACCCCTTGGATCTAGTGCTGCCGTGAAGCATTTCACGACGCGGCCTTGCGGATCAAGAATGATTCGGGACCACCAAAGCTGGTTGTACCGCCGCTCCGCAGCAGCTTCATCATCAAACTCTTCCCAATAAAGCCTCCGACCACAGCAGTATCCCAACTTCCATGAATCGTGCCGAAGATCAGGCTCGGCAGCACCGTCGATGCCCTCAAGGAACCCCGTCAGGCTTTGCGTCAAGCCAAGCAAGCCCTCTCTGGACTTGGTTTGCAACCTCTCAAGTGTTGACCTCGAGAAGAGATCTCCACTAATCAGGCCAAACCCATCCCAGCCCGTTGGCTGAGGCTCATCAGTACTCATGATTCGAAATATTTCGCGCGGCACAGGATGAGTGACAATGCCTATCTTACTTGCAATCTGCAGCGGCAAACACAAACCTTATGACGAAGCATGTGGTCCTCTCTGCTGCACGTCGGACAAATCAGATAAGCTGCGAAGCGTTGCCGACCATGTTTCTTTCCGCTCTGCTGTGGCAGAACGCATGTTTTCTAGTTGTACGGGAACGGTTCAACGTCATGCTCAACTGATTTCAGTTCACCTGCCAGATCTCCTGCTGCAATAAACCCTTTGGAATTACCTCAAACACCGACAATCACACTGAAGAAGGTTGCACCATGACGCCTGCAGAGTGGGATGTATGGGCCACGGAAGCCATCAGGAATCCAAAGCCCAAATGCCCGTGGTTCACATGGCTTGATTTCGCTTGTCATGATGCTATTACCTTGGAAGAACAAGTTGCCTCTACTCCATGAAGCTATTACCTCGGAAGAACAAGTTGCCTTTACTCCATGAATCGGTTCAGGAGCCAGCACGTTCCCGAGAAAGCCAGTCTACATCAGGAATTGGTTCAGGAGCCAGCACGTTCCCGACAAAGCCAATCTACATGCACTGTCAGGCCGACTCAGCCCATGCAAAGATCTGCAAAGTTGTGTTTTGAACAGATCGGCGCACACCGCTCTGCGAGGCTGAAAATTGTACGTAGTAACAAAAGTAGTATACTCCTACAACACCTACGGATCACAATCCCTACCAGTACTGGCCTGTAGCCACGCGAATTGGCATCGACTAAACTGTACAAATCCGTGCCATGGTGGGTCAACGAAGGTCGTGCCAAAGTCGAAGAGCACTTCGTAGGATGTCCTCTGTTCCGTACACACAGTACGGAGCGAACAATGGCAAAAATCTCTGCACAGCATCAAGCAGCATTCCCAGCCTCAAGTTGGGCAGGGGGTTCGAGGCACTCCTGGCACTGTCCCTTGCAGCAGTTCCTGGCAGGATAACTTCATACCACTGGCTTACACATCATGTCAGGCCCAGCTTCCCGACGTCATGCAGCCATGTGTTACCATCCATGTGTATGTGCCTATGAATGCCTCCGCGCTCCGCGTTCTCGCCAACGCCCCCCCCCACCCCCGATAACATCTCCCCCGGGCCCAAACCCTGACCGTGAACCCTAAAGCCCATCGCGAAGCACAGGACCACAGGGGTGAGGGTAAAACTCTCCATTGCTGCTTCTGGGTCACAACGTACGAGCTTGAGCTTGTCTCCGCAATCGTGAGCCAGGGCAGGTTTGTTTGAGTCAAGGGAGCTTGCAAGCCCAGTTCGGGTTTAAGGTTTTGGGGCGGCCTTAAATCCTGCAGCCCCAAATTGAACCCAAAAGCCTTAAAACCCCAACCCCTGAAACCCTGAGCACTACAAGCGCTAGAGCGTCGTATAAGGGCCCTGAACCCTAACCCCTAAAAATGCCCCACGGCCACACCACTGTGGGGTGCGGTACCTGGACCCTGACCGTTAAACTCCCAGCACTGCAACACCCTCAACCCTAAACCATCCTACACCTTACACATCCCTAAACTGCCTAAACCCTAAAACGCAAAGCCCTAAAACCTAAGTCCCTGGAACCCTAAGCCCCCAACCCTGAAACCAACCAACCCGCAACCAGACCACAAGGGGGGCGCCCCAAAACCTTACACCCTAAAACTAACCCACATCGGCTTCCAGCCGACAACAAGCAGACCAGGATCTGTTCTCCTTGCCCCCTTCCCAACCTTCTGCGCACCCCCCTGCCCACCCTGCCATGGACCCTCCCCGGGCCCCCTAAGGACTGGTTGGTGCGTGCGCGTGCTCGTGTGAGCGAGTGCGCGTGTGCGTGTGCGAGTGCGCGAGTGTGCGTGTGCAGGAGTGCGCACGCGTGCGCGCGTGCGGGCCTGCGCGTGAGCGTGTGCGCGCGGGTGCGCGGGTGGCGCATGCAGAGTGCGCGTGCACATGCTGCTGTGGAAGAAAAGTATGGATCTTTGGGTAGGATAACCATAAAGATATGTGTATGTACACATATATATATATGTATATACTTATTTATTTATTTATTCATTTATATTTATTGCTTTATTCATATTTGTATTTATATTTATGTATATATGTGGTATACACAACGTCTTGCCACGAACAGCTAATGCTGACTCTTTACCTTGTATTTCCGCCTCACCATGTCTATCTATCTATCTGCCTCAAAATGTCTATAACCATACTGCACGATACTCGGGGGAAATTCGTTCCCAAAATCGATGTGGCGCCTTCCCCAGCGGCTGTAGGACAAGTGCCTGGCATGACAATCCGTCACATTCACAGCCTTGCACTATATCCCACGATCGACACCAAAGCAGGTTCAGGGTCGGAGTTACGAATCCTCATTCGGCTCGCAATCGCCCAAATTATATCTGACCGCATGAAGTGCACGTATACATCACACGAGCGTTCCTCGAAAGAAACCCAAAGGCTCATTTCTGGGCTTTAAACAAAGACAGGTCTTCCCTGCACTCTGCTTCGCTTGATCTCCTCCTTCTCTTCTTAGTCTTCGCCACCTATTTACGCCGATCTGTTCTGTATTGCTAACGTTGCAGCTTATCGTCACCTCCTCAACCGACATCCACGTCGTTTCAGAAATCAAGCCGGCAAGGCTGAATGTCTGGGCACGCAAAGCCCTCAGCCTTTAAAATATAGTGAAGGATAGCTGAAGCAGCAACGGATCGATGTTTGCCAGCACGGCAGTACCTGCCCAGAAGGGTTTGCAAAAGGGTTCCAGGGCTTCGAGTTTAGGATGGAACTTGAGTGGTGAAGTTCCAAATTCTTGCGGCATGGTCGATCTGGCGCACACGGCAACATTGATACTCGCCCCACTGTTGGATCCTCTCGCTTCTGCCAGGTCAAAAACACAACTCTCCATGCACTGACGCCGAATGATGGCTCCCAGAGATCTCCAAACGGACGCTAACAAACGTGCAAAGTGTAAAACAACTCACCTGCCCAGACACCTAGATAACCTCAAGGTTATCGCAGCCGCCACACTTCCACAAGTCATGCTTGGGTGCGCCTGATGTCTTCGGATCCTGCTGATCGCACGTTGCCTCGGCCGCTCTATGTCAGGCGCTCACACGTTTCACAAGGCTCCACATTGTCGGTGTACTGGAAGCTGGGATGCCGGCTTCCTTCATGGCTTTCTGAATCTTCCGTTTTGCCCTTTCCAGCCACATCTTGAAGTTCCTTCAGAGTACCGAAGCTACTGCGTCTGCCCAAACGCCTGAAGGTTCCAGCACGAAGCATGCTTTTTTGAACTGCCATGCACGCGCGGTCCTGTGATTGAACAGCCGCGTAATTATCAGGTGATGTCTCCCAGAGTGCCTGCGAACATTCTTTCAGAAACACACTTGGGTTCACGGCGTCTCAAGTCGGCCTCGTCACGTTTCCAGCATCAGGGTCGGGAAACCTCGACGCACGACACCACGAGTGATGATGGACGAGCCAAATCAACCCCAGTCATTAACTGACTAGTGCCGAGAACGCCGCATTCGGGCATCAAGGATGACCTCCGACGGAAACTTCCTCGGCTCAAGCTTCTGCCCTATTGCCTTTTGCCAAGCCGAGTTGCCAGATGGCTCCCAGCGTCTCAGTCTGGGACTGTCGAGTCAGGGCTTCGTTGAGCTCTTCTTCATCGATGCGAATGGCTGCACCTCCGCCTTCCAGTTCCAAAAAAACACGCTCGTTGTCATCTCTGCTTCACACCGCTGGCCACGAGCAGCAGCAGCAGCAGATCAGAAGCTTGCCTGGATGCTCGTAGCATCTGGAACATAAATCTCCGTCCAAGGTTTCCAGGCCGAACGTGGCCTTGATCAAAGACAGCTCAGGCCGCGTTCAGAAGGCTATCCGATATCCGAGAACATCCCAAGTTTGAACAAATACTGCACTGGGGGAAGTCTTGAGTGCCATGCTAGACAGATCCGACCGAATCCACCACCTCCCGCGGCATCGGCATCACTGATTCGGCCTCCCTCCTCACAAGAAGTGGAGGAGTCCAAGGACAAACCATGGCCAACAACAAATGCAAAATCGTGTTCACTCCTTTTAATGCTCCAACCCGGACAAAGTTCATCAAGAACCACATACAGGCGGAACAAACCCAGGAAGTCGACCCACTGGCAAGTGCAACTTGTGGTGACAAAAGGCCTGCTGTTGCAGACTGCCTGCTGGTGAAGCACCTGCGGGATGTGGGCACGTCTGATTCAGCATGCCGCACGTGCCATACAAGGGAAGGTTTGCATGCGTATCCTTCCTTTTGCTTGCTCGCAGAAGTCCGGCGGGCTGCATGAGCATTAACGATCTGGATCTTCGGTAGTCGGGGGCAAGGAATTGCGATAGCTCATCCCACTGGCCCACTGGCCAGCTCTAGCCAGTGTCCTTTGCTGGGTCCTTCGCCGGCGCCACGTATCCCAGCCAGTCATGTGTAGTTCTGCTGGTCCAGCTGATTCCGCACGGCACTGGTTCGAATCTGCACGGCCATGTTATCAAGCGACCCATTCTGTCAGCCGTATCAAGCTTCACTGAGCAGCTTCACTGCTTAATCCAGCTCTCCCCATGATCCCAGAGAATGGCAGCCTGTGCCTCCAAAGAAACACGGCCGTAGAAAGTTTGACCGTTCATGTGGAGACTGATAAGGTTTGGCCCTTCCTCTGCCAAGAAATGAACTGTGTCTCGGAGCGCGGAATCCGGGTCGAAGAACACCTGGGAGTTCCAAACTTGGCACAGAGGCCTCAAGTTGCTCTTCAAGAACCACCGACCTTCCAAAGACTTCAACAATGTCGATGGAGGGAGAACCGGCACGGGCAGTACGGGCATCGACGTATGTGCCGTCACGGCATCATCTGCCACATCTGCCACATCTGACACGAGGTCAAGGGGCACCAAAGCCAATGAGGAGCCATTCTGCACTACCCCAACAGGAAACAGGCTGACGGTGGAGTCATTCTCGTTCTCGCAGCAGCATTGGCAGACTGGCATTCCTGATGCGCTTCCCATGGCTTCACTTCCTCCCGAAGATATTCGACTTCGATCCGAGGACACTGCGAAAGCTGCAGGCTGGGCTGCTTCCGCATCTTACTTAGACTGCGGAGGCTAACACATCATCCAGCCTTGTTGTCTTTCTGTCTGCTTTCCTGACACCTGCGCCAGTTTCAGTACAGAACGGGAAGGACACGTTTTCCGGGGGTGGCTCAGAAGTGGTTTCTTGCATCATCGAAGACGAGTTCGCTCCGGTAATCAGTGATGAAAACTCTGTAGCTTCTCCAATTCTTCTGCACTTCGCAAAGTGTAGCTAAAGTAAAGATTGCAACGCACATTTGACTGTCGGAGTCCTTCCACGGGCACGGTTCTGGTGGAGGCGGTGGTGGTGGAAGCTTGGCTTCGTTTGCCTGACAACACCAGCGTATACCAGGAAGGTCAAAGCGACCCATCTCGCACCAAGAATGCAGTCCGTGGGCTAAGGGTAGAGTTCTTGCAAAAATGCCGTTGCCTCTCGACTCTTTTCTCTTCTCATGAGTGACTATGTTGCAGCATGCAGATGTTTTTGCGAATGACGAAACTTTTAATTTCCGAAAACACATCAAGCCCAACAATTCTCCGCAGGCTCCGCTTCACATGTCCCTAGGACATCCGGACACTTTTTGAACATTATCAGGCGTTTGGAGTGGTGCGCGAGGGGGGGATGAGCTCACCGCGCCGCATGCTCGAGTCAGAGTTCCCCTCTCCGTTCGTTTGATGGTGCGACCTGAAGAGATTTCCGTTCTTGCCCATCCAGGTTGAAACTCAACTCGTCCACTCAGCGACTCAGAATGCTCAGAATGCGATAGCAAAGACAAGTGCAGCTGTGCCCACTCGCCACAACAACCGAACCGAAATTTGACACGATTGATGCAGCTTTGTGGAGCTTTGGAGAGACTTTCCGGGAAAAGCTTTCCTGACTCAGTTGTTACTCCAGCCCCTTCGAGGCCCTGAAGCTTTCTTCTGGCCGGTGACCCCTAAGATCCCTTGATCCCCCTGAGAGAGGTTCTACGGGCGTACCACAAAGCTAGAAGGGTATGACATTATTTCAGCATACCCTTCTGGTTTCTGTTTCGCCGCCACACCCTCGAGACCCTGAAACCGCAAAAGGGCAAACCCCTAAGGCCCCTTGAGCCCTCTTGAGTCATGGGATTGAAGAAGATACGCACCTAGCTGTGGATGCAGACGAGAAGCTAGGACCTAGGAGGGTATGACATGATATCATGCCCTGCCGGTTCTTTTTCGGGGTCATAGGTCGCCATGCAGCCTTGAACAAGTGACTTTCAGGCACAGAAGCTAGGAGAAATCTGTTTCGGAAACTTTCAGGTTCAACTTTTCGAAGAAGCTAGGAAGGTATGACAAAAAAGGTGCCTTGGGGGTTCACCGGCCAGAGGCCAGAAGAGGGCTTCTGGGTGTCGAGGGGGCTGGTGGAACCACAAGAAAACCAGGATCACAACAGTGGGCCTCAGAGGTTGAGACCCCAAGCAAGTTTCAGGGTCTTAAGGTTGGATAAGGGGGCCAAGAGAGCCTCAAGGGTTCAGAGCGGGTGGGTCAAGTGAGAAGCCTTAAACGAACTACAGCGGATCTTATGGGAGCTTAGGGAATTGCAGGGACTCAATGGTGCTTACGGACCTGAAGGAGGTGGGGAGCTTTGGAAGCCTTGGGGGGCTTAAGAAGAAACAGGGATTGAGAGTCTGCGAAACCTAAATGCCTGAATAAGCGGCTTTTGAGACCACTGATACTTTCCTCTGCTTCGTGCCTTCTGCTCTCGGCTCGACTCGGCTCGACTCGGGGCTTTGTACCAGACCACCCGTATGCTTTGTGTCCCACCCTCCCCTCTCTTCCCATTTCGGGCCTCCGGGATTGGCGGCTCCTTTGCCGTCGGCTTCATTGTCTCGGACTGGACAGGCTGGCCATCTGAAGCCCTCGGGACAACATCTTCTGCAGTTCACTGAGTGCAGTGAGCGCACCTGGCAGAATTCTGCTAGACAGAACCCCGGCCTTGGCGGCGGCCGTGATGGCTTTGGTGGAAGAACCTGGTGTCAACTGTCCGAATTATCCGACGTGCTTGATCCATCAATCGTGAAGTGCCTGCTTGGAATCATCCTGCGAAGTCATTTTGACTTCCTGTGCCTCATGTGCTCTCACACCGTCCCAAGTCTTACTCGTGCGCGATAGCCATTTGCATATAGGTGCCTTCTTTGAGGCATCATGCGAAGTCGTTTTGGCGAGTTGCACCTGAGGCTCTCTTACGTGGCCCAAACATGCCCAAACGCTCCAAAAAGTGCTGCTCACGGGAAACGTTCATAAAACAGGGCCTTGGAAGAAACATGCGACGTCTTCTTGACCTCCTGCGGCGTAGGCTCATGTGTACACATCTGTACAGCGATGGCTGTCATCTGCGTCCCCGTCTCCGAGCCGCACGCATCAGGGGGCGGGGATGTCGGAGGAGGTGGCGGCTCCTCTCATCTGAGCTCCAGTCAATCCCTTGCCAACCTACTTCCACTTGTGGGGCTGTCCTGACGGGGCTCTTTGCTGAGATTTGACATCGGCATCCAGCCGCAGACCCCTTTCTGGATTCTGACCTGCCCAACTGCAGCCACTTGTGCACTTGGAGATAAACTAGGCGCCCTGACCTTGACCCACGCTTTCTGCTGGTCCACTACCTTTCCAAGGTGTCAGGCTCGGAGGAAGAGGCAAGCGCGTGATCCCACCTGGACGATCATTCCACTGGGGGCCGTGACCTGACCACTCATCATAAAAAATCAGAAAAAGTCGGCGAATCACACCGCGCAATGCGCAGATATGAAATACATGAAATCCAACGGCCTTCGTTGTTTCGTACGATGCATACTGCGGCTGTCGTTCCTTTCAGCAGATGAACACGAAGCATTCTGAGAATCAAATCTTTGCTTTGGCAAAAGTCGCTTGCACGCAAAATATCTCCTGCTTGATGTCAGGAAACGGCAGCAAATCAGTGGTCCGTACGACCGCATGCCAGGGCCTCACGGAACGTCTTGCGCAGCGCATTTGTCTTGGTGAGGTTGGCAATGGGTGGCAGCTTGAGCATTCTTGAGCAGTGTTTTCGCAAATGCCGTGGATCATGGCTGGATACCGTGGCAAGCGAACACATATATACAGCTTCCCAGCCGAGACCGGAAAACCTGCGCGATACACCTGCGCCTTCCACCATTGAAAACAGGAAAGGCGTCCAGCTGCAGGGCACAGTCTGTACAGGAAGACATTTGCACCACACAAGCATCTTATGCCTGCGCGTGAGCAGACAGCTAGGCAAGCTGCACACCAGATGCATCAGGGTTGTGGGTGGGCAGTTTATCGCAATGTTGGCCATCATGCGCGTGAGCTTCCCTATACTGTTCCATAAATGCGAAAACACCGGTCCACACTCCATGAGTGAGGGCACGGCACATCTCCTGCGAGTGAAACTCTGACCGACTGCAATTTTCAGGCCATCTGACCCCTACGGTGACTTGATTTGGGCTGAGGAGAATGGCTGTCGGAATTACTATGCTTGGAAGCTTTCGGATGTAGATGCAACAGCAGCTCTGCTGCTACAAAAATGCCATCAGCACCGCTGCTCAAGAAGGTAAGCCTGTGCTAACGTTGTCAGCATGGGCACATGCATGCTGCCGCCACTGTGCTGCTGTTGCAACAAGACAAGTTTTGCCAGGATATCTCAACTTGCCAGTAACGTGCATGAGTAACGGCAGCAGCTAGGTGTCCTGCCTGGACTCCGGAGAATCTGACAAGACATGTAGTCGCGAAGAGTTTGCACAAGAAATACACTAGAAGCAACAGCCTCTTCTCTGACTTTCTTCACGACCCGCGCCGCCCCAGCAGTATCCTCATCTTTCTCTGCAAAGTGAGAGAATGCTAAACATGATGCATGAAAGGGCCCTTGCTCCGAATTCGCTGAGACCCTGACACTCAGAAAAAGGCGATGCCTGCAGACGGCATTTGCCCAGATACCCGTCTCCGAGTCGACTCCACAACAAAACCCATATGGGATCCCATATGGGTCTCCGGCCAGAGCGCATCTGCTGCTGCTGAACAAAGGAACTCCAGCTCCCAGCTGTGAACGTCGTGCGCCTGGCCAGTGCAGTTGAAGAGCAAAGGACGGCAAGCAAAGACATTGGACTTCTTTGGACTTCTTCACATGTCTGAATCTGGAGGTTTCAGAGGGCGCTTGATCTTCCAGCAACATCCGGAAACCGCGTCAGGCGATCTGCTGCGCTGTCTAAGGAAAGGTCCAAGCCTTGAAAGCACACAGCATTGCAGAGCTGCGGCACAGCAGGACCCATAGCAGGACAACTCAGGACACTACTGCAATGTGACCGCATCATGCAATGCTGAGGGCTGAGGGCCTCTGAGGGGCCTCTGAGGTCGATGCTTATGTCGGAGGCACTCCTGGAGTGACTTGTGCATTCCATCGCCTCGACAACAACCGCTCCGCACAACTGCCGTTGTGGGGGAGCTAAGGTATGTTGTGATGTGTTGTGATATTTTCTTACGGATGGCTGCTGACGGCAAATGCATGGGGTCGCTCCAATATCCGGAGACGCACCTGCCTGGCCACACGATCCACACGGCCCGCGCTGCCCAAGCGGCGCCTCGGAAAACAAAGCACCTGCACGGCAGATGTGCGGGAATATGAAAACATCCGCCACTTTGCAACCCCATGTGGCATCGAATCCTATTCGCTACATGACGGTGCTTGTCAGAGTTGCAGATGACTAGCTCCACATGTTTCAAGCAGCTTCACAAGCCTCCTGCAGATCGAACGGAAGTACTTGCTGTGCTGCAGTTGCTACTCAAGCCGTAGTGTCCTCAGCTGGCACGGTGGAAGCAAGTGCGAGCACAACTTGATGAGAGAAGATCAGGGAAATCTGACGAGGCCTTGGACGACGGTAGGAGATGAATCCCCCTCACAGTTTTTCCTTCAAGGGTTTCAACTTTTC